TTTAAAGGAATTTAAATATTAATTTAATTATTTACAATAAAATCCTCAAATTTAAATGTCTGTTCTGATTATAAGCCTTTGAAGAGTCAATTCAGACCTAGCTTTTTTTGTTACGCTTTTTTGTGCGTTTTTTAGTTATAAACGAGATATAAAAATTTTTATTTTGATTTTAAACTCAGTTCTCCTTTAAAATGCCTTTGGGGTACTGTTATAACGAGATGTTGTACTATAAATAAAATGTTATTCTCATTAAGGAAGGCCATTTAATTAGATGAGAGACAATTTTGATGGGATTTTAAACAATTTTTCGGATTGAAAAGGTCTAATGTAGTAGGTTTAAGGTTTGGAGGGTAAATTAAAAATGTTTTCCAAAATCTAATTCCAATATACTACCTTAACACAACTTTTAGTAGCTAATCTAGCTTGTGTCAAATTAATGTCTTGTAAAGACAAAGTTGTCGTTGTTGTTGTTTTCCCCAATAATTGGCATTGTTTTTCAATAGAAAATTTAACAGCAACACAATTCTGTAAGTCTTTTATTAATTCTTTAATTTCAAAACAATTTTCAAAATTATTTTCCTTCACCAAAAAATTATTTTTTTCTAATATTCTTTTAATTAATTCTGATAAAATAATTGAAGGCCGTAAATGTTTAGAAGAAAGCCAAGCAATTAAGGAAGAAATAGAAATATTTGAGGAGGAAGAGAAGAAAGAAGAGGAAGATGGGGAAGAAGAAAATAAGGAAGATGGAGAAGAGGAAGAAAATAGCTCTGATGAAGCATGTTGATGACTGCCGCCCTATACCAAAAAATAAAAAGCAAAAAATAAGAAAAAATAAAGCAAAGAAATTTTGAGATTCTGGTGTTCCTTTAAAGGAGAAATTAAAGGAGAAATAACCAAAATAAAGTCTGGAAAATTTCTATTGTTTTTTTTTAAATTTTTAAACAGAAACAAAAAAATAAAATAAGCAAAAATAAAGAAAAACTAAAATTCCGAAGCAATAGAAAAAATTTAAAAATTTTAAAAAATTTACATTTGCTGCCGAACAAAGTTCTGCACATTCCAAAAATCCCCCAGTAACAGGGACAGTTCTTAAAGGCTCAGTTCCGGCGATAGAAGAAACATTCCGTTGCAAAAGAAAAACTGGGGCTTCTTCCGAATTACATTCGGATATTAATGCTTAAAAATTTGAAAATTTCTCTAAAATATTTGGAAATTTTTTTAAAATATTTGGAAATTTTTTAAAGTTTTTCAAGTCTTTTAAGTCAGCCCGGAAGTAAGGTCTTTTTTCCAAAAGTCTTTTTTCTTTAACAGTTAAATACTCAGTTTCCGGAAAATTAAGCTTCTCGATTTTTTATAAAATTATTTATACAATTTATAACCTTATTTTCATAATTATTTACCAGAGGTGGGTCGGAATTCCAATTTCCGACACTTCTCTGACTGTTCCTACCCACCTCTGCTATTTACTTCAATTTTTTGTACTTTAATTTTTACTTTTTTTATTATTTTTACCCGTTATTCTCATAAAATATTTGTGTGTTGACTTTATATTTTTAATGTTCTACTTATTAATTTAGGTTAAGGTCATTTATTAACCCATTTTATCAAGATTATTATTCTTGACAGAAACAAAAAAAAGAAACTTTAGTTTTACAGCTCTGCTAACACTCGCAGCTTTTTCAGTTTTAGCCAAGCTACTATTAGTCTTACTAAAGAGTAAGTTGATTTTAGGCTCTTAACTAAAGAATTCGTAATCTGATTTAGAAAATCTTTATATCATTGAATAAGGATTTAAATTTACTAGAAAAATATTAAAAACTAAAATTTTTTAATTTTTCAAAAAAAAAGTTATACTTAAAAAAACTAAAATTTTAAATAAATTTCGAAGTTTTTTGAGCACAACTTTTTTTGTCATAATTTCAAAAATTTCGATTTTTTGGAAATTTATAGTTTATTTAATTCTATATCGAATGATACTAAAATTTGTTCAAAAAATTTAATTTTTGGATAAGTTAAATAATTAAAAGTCAACTGAGGTTGTGTTATTTTTATTTAATTTTAGAGCATAAAAATCTAAAAATTAGACTTACGTATGGAATAAGCCTGACATTTTGTGGTTAAAAATGTAAATAAAAATGAGAGAATAAAAAGGAGGGGAAAAGTTGGAATTTTAGTAACCATAGAGGGTGTGGGTAATTTAAAGGAATTTAATCAAGAAAAATTATTTAGTTGTTAATTCAAAAAAATTGCTGTTGTTTTTGTGCTAATCTCTTATTTGAAATATTTTTTCTTTAAAATAAAAACTTGAAATATTCCTTTAAAAATTTTTATTTTCACTTTAAAATTAAAAAAGAAGTCAAAAAAAGCTCTTATAAATATTTGCGCATTATTTAAATGGATGGTTTACCAAAAATTTTCTTGAAAAAAGGAAAAAGGGAAAACTACGACGATTTGGAATAAATACATAAAAAGAGAACAACAACCAAACACTTTCCTTGCCATTTTTGGTTTTTAGGGAAGGAGGGAGGGGGGAAGGATTTTGTAAAAAGGCGGATATATATTTGAAGAGAGATTGGAAGAGGGGGAATATTCTTAGAAAGGCAAGAAAGTGATTTGATTGAAATGAAAGAGAAAAAAGATGTTTTGGGAGATAAATGGACAGTCTAAAAATTGGAAAAGAAATAATATAAAATCTAATAAAATTTATTGGAATTTTTAAAAATTTTTGTTTGGCAAAAGAAAATAAAAATTATTTAAATTTAAACAAAACAAATGTTCCTTTCAGCCTACCCTCTGTTCAAACCAGTGATCCTGCCGACAAAAATTTAGAATTCCAGATTTTGGGAGATTTGTATTCCTGAGAAAAAATAAATTTCCGGCAGGATCCTTGGTTCAAACCAGCCAGTGTATGGAAGCTTGTACATAATTCGTTCTCGTACTTGTATACGAATACGAGGGATAGAAACATGCCAAATGTGAGTACGAAGAAATTTTAAATTTCCAAAAACTGGTCCGAACGGAACAATAAAAATTATATAAGGAGAATTATTGCTAAATTTTGAATGATTTAATTGACTTTCTAAATTATCAAAATTCAAAGATGAGTAAAGTAATAAATCAGTTAAAATCACTTTTTAACCTTCCTTTCTCCATTGGCTGCTAGATAAATATTGAAATAAATAAATTCGTTTATTTTATTTTAAAAAAGCCAATAAAATCCGTTATATTTCCTTAATTTTTTAGACCTTTCTTAATTTGTAAAAATGAACGATCGTTAGGTAAAGGGAGAATTGCAACGGCAACCCAATAAATTCACAAATAGCCTTTGGCGCTTCTTTTCCTTTTTTCTTCACTTTTTCTTTGATTTTTCGGTTTTATTTTAACCAACAAACATTCCCCTCCCCCAACAAACATCCCCCCCCAATTCCTCTCAACACAATTTTGACCTAAATTTGGAGAGAAAAATTTTAAAGGAATTGATGGATTGAAGTGAAGAAGAATCCCAAAAAAAGTCATTAGAAGGATAAGTTAGTTAATTCATTCTAATATATTTATTGCTCATTTTCTGACGTAAGAGAAGAAAAAAGAAAAAGCTTTCCTTCCTTAAAATTGGCTTTTCAACGACGGCAAATGAATAAATATTTATTTTTAATGAAAATTCCTTTTACTTGTTTCTGTTACGCGATCAAGAAAAATTAAAAGAAATTAACACGATTATTATTTAATAAAAAAATAAATTAGAACAATAAAAAAATAAAAATTCTGATAAAAGAGGAATATAAGGAAAAATAAATGAATTTTGTAGATTATCTTTATAAATGACTCGATTTTGCTTAAGTGAACTGAAGATGTGGAGATTTAAAAGAATATTTTAAAAATATATATGTATATTTAAACCAGACATGGACATGGATACGGATACAGATAATATCAAAATGCCTGCGGATATCCGCCTGTATCCGCCGTAAATATACAAAAAAGTCATTAGAAGGATATGGATACCAAGATTTGTATCCGTGACCATGCCTGATTTAGACTTGTTTAAGAAAAACTTTTAGATATGTAATGTATTGAAGGCTCAATCTTGAAGAAATCTTGAAGAAGCACTTAAAAGTTTAGTGCCAATAATAAAGAAATAATGGCATACTCTCATTGTTATTATTATTAAAAAGGAAAAAATAAGTAAATTCTGAATGGATTAACAAAAAATTTTTAATAATTATTTAAATAAATATATAATTACTTGACCTTTAATAAGTGGATATATTAACTAAAATAAGTATAAGAAAAAAATATTTCTGTGATATGATCTATTCTGTCAATCTTGCATTTATTAATTGGGCCTTGACCTTTTTATTTGAAAGAATTTCTTTGATATTATTTTTATAAAATAATTTTATGAAAAACAAAAATAGGTATATTAAAATTTATTTAAAAATGGGAAACAATAAAAATAATTTTAAAAAATTTTTAAATTAATTTTTAATTACTACGGTAATTTTTTAAAAATTACTACGGTATTTGGCAATGAAACGGCTTAACAAAAATGTTTTGAAGGGAAGAGAATATTTGAGTCTCGCAATTTTTGGCTTTCTTTATTCTTTAATGTCCCTGTTTTTTTCCCATTTCATCAACCTCAAAATTTTTAAAATTAAAAACCTTATGTAAAATCCATTTTCATCATCCACAAATGGATGCTGAATTTATTAAATTAATTTTAAATGTTGAAACTGTTCCTTTTATTGTTGATTTTTTTGCTACTTGGCTTTAATGCTTCAAATGGATTTTTATTAAAAATTGTTGTCATCAGAAAAATTAAATCTTTGTATTTGTCACCCTCTTAAGAAATTCCCTCAGAAAAGTGCTTGGAGGGAAATGAAAGTACCAAACTTTCAAATATTTTTTAGAATTTATTTTTAATTCCTTTCATTAATTAATTTTTATTTTATTTTAGAATTTAATTTGGAAATTATTCAATCAACAACAAAATTTTAGAGATGGCTGATCATCGAGTATCTTTTTTTTAGTTGTTAATTAATTGTACTAATTTTTAGTTTGTTAAAGTCCGTGAAGATGGAGAAATAGTTGCTATTCCTCTGTCATCTAATGGAAGATTGGCGTTGCATATGCTAAAGATTGCTTACCCGCGTGCTTATGGCTTAAAGTATACAGATCAGATTGTTCCTACCAGACCTAATCCATCAAAATATCTTGTCTAGTATTTTTTTTATTTTTTGAACAAAACTTATTTTTGTTTTTAGTTTTGATGGAAAAGAATTTTTTTCTGACCCGATTGCCGGATGGAATGGAATTTTTGAAGTTATGTGTACTACACCTCCTCCAAGTCCTCCTAGAAGACCTATGAGTGGTATTTCTTTTTTTCTTTAAATAATTTTCTGTTAAAGTTTATTGATAGGTTACGCTTAAAGATTGAGAAGTGATGCAAACGACCGGTCATTTTAAATCTGGTGAAGGATAGGCGTTTAAATATTTTTTGTTTTAATTTATTAATTATATGTTTGTGTATATGTGGCTTTTATAAATTTATTTCCTTTAATGTTTTTCTTTGAAATTTTATTTGTTTAATTTCAAATATTTATTTTTGCGAATAATTTTTATCTTTAATTCGAAATTCCAGACTTTTTTAAAAATGGCTGACAAATTTTGTGCAGAGGTTATTTCAATTTATACAAATGAATCTGATCAAAAGATTCAAACAGAAAAGTTTTTTATGTGTTTAACTTTTAATTTAAAAATTAATTTTTTAGATTGTGTTGTTTACTTGATCGAGTTCTTTCTTTAAATAATGTTCCAAATGTTTCTGTTGAGTCTTCTCAATTAATTGAAATTCTACAAAAACTTGTTGAGACTGGTATTTTTTAGATATTTTATTTTATTTGTAAGCATTAAATTTGGGCTTTTTTGCTTTGCCGGTCCGCATTTTTTCTTTCCTTGCAAAGGAAACTAATGTTGTGTAAGGAAAAGAATTTTTGTTTATTTAGAAAATATGTAATTTAGAACTCCAGTTTTATGGCCCTCTTACCCATCTGACTAGGGTTGCCAGCCCGGTCCGGTTCGGAATATCGAGTCGGGCATCGAATTTTGGCCCTAAAAAACTCGGTCGGGCCGGCCCGAAAAATGGCTAGCGTCGGCCCGAATCGAAAACGGCAACCCTATATCTGACCATTCGTATCTTTCCTACCACCCTTATGGGCCGAAAGCTTTAATATATTTCTACATAAGTATTGCGGATAATTTTTGCGGATTTTTCGTTCCCAATATCAAACTTTAAATTTTTTTAGAATTTTTCAATTTTTATTCCAGTTGTAAACAATGAAAGTACAAGTATGGTAGTTTCTCGTCAATTTATTGCTGACATTGCTGATCGTTTAAAATCAATAGTTGTCCACAATAATGATTTGGTTATTAATTTGGCAAATGTGGTTCTCAATCAATTACAGGTTTTTTTTCTTAATTTAAAATTTTTATTTTCTTTAAAAGGCTCGTGCTATTGCTTACGAAGAACAAAGTAATCAAATTCGAATAATTTTGGCTGATTCTTATGAAAAAACTGGAAATTTTGAACAAGCTGCTCGAACACTTGTTGCTATTCCTTTGGAGACTGGACAACGGTCTGTTTTTAGTTTAAAAAGAATTTTTTGTTTTTTCAGAGGATATCGTCCAGATTTCAAAATGGAACTTTACTTGCGTATAACAGAATTGTTTTTGGAAGCAGGGAATATTTTGGAGGCGGATAGGCATGTAAAAAGGGCTTCTTTACTTCAACAGGATGTGAAGGATAATGGAGGACTTTTGTTAAGATATTCGGTTAATTTTTTTAAGTTTACTAAAAATTTATTCTTAATGGGTAATGAAATTAAGTGATTTTTTGGCCTTTTCTGTTTTTAATTTTCCTCATTAAATTGTTTTAGTTCAAATTTTTCATTTGCCTTTATTTCTAAATTTCTTGAGTTCGTGGGTGAGGGGCAATTCAAGGAATACCAAGTGAAGGAACAGACAAATCAAGGATCGTCAACTCGTGGAACGACCAAAACACGGAATATTTTAAAAATCAGAATTTTTAAGATTTTTTTTAATTCTGATTTTTAAAGTATTATAATTTTTTTATTTTTTTAAATATTCAGTTTTGGTCATTCCGTGAGATGGTCGTTCCTGGACTTGTCTTTTCCTTGACATGTCGTTCCTTTATTTGTCTGTTCCTTGAGTTAGCCCGACACGTGTGTTTGTGTACCATTTTGGTCTAACTCTTCCTGCCCTTTTTTATTCTTGTTTTAATCCTCATTTATAATCAATTCTAAAGTTTAAAAATATTTCCTTTCAAAGGCTCTCTATGCTCGTGTTTTCGATCGTCAAGGGCAATTTATTGAAGCAGCATCGCGTTATTATGAGATTTCAATTAAGCAAGGACTTCTTCCATCAGAGAAAAAACAAATACTTCAAAATGCTTTAATTTGTACTTTATTGGCACCTCCCGGTTTTTTTTAATTGTTATAGAAAAATTTCAAAAAAATATTTAGGACTTCAACGTAACCGACTTTTAAATACTCTTTTCAAAGATGAACGTTGCCAGGGATTGGCTTGTTATCAGCTTTTGAAGAATATGTATCTGGAGAGGCTTATACAAAATTCTGAGGTTTTTTTGAGACATTTTTTTTTGTAAATTTAAATTCCTAACGAGATCGATTTTCTTAAATCAGGTGTTTATCTATTTGGTAGAACTATAAAATCTCGATCTCGGTAATAGCCTCGTTTACCTAACTAAAATCGTTTCGCGACTAGAAAAAACATTTGAATGAAGACGAAAATCAGGACTTTAACTAAGATTTTGAAACGAATTCTCGGTTCGGTCTGATCTCTTTTTCACTATATTCAATAACCTAAAATTTTTCTCATTTACTCATATTTTCCTTTAAAATCCAGTTGAAAGAATTTGAATTATTACTTATGCCCCATCAACGTTTACTCGATTCTGAAGGTTCTTCAATTTTACAACGAACTGTTGTAGAACACAATTTTTTGGCTGCATCGAGACTTTATTCAAATATTTCTTTTGATGGACTTGGACAATTATTGGGTGTTTCTTCTAAAAAGGTTTTTTAAAATTATTTTGAAATTAATTTTAAAAATATATTTTAAGGCAGAAAAGATTGCCTCTCAGATGATTTCAAGTGATAAAGTTCATGGGAAGATTAATCAATTGGATGGCACTGTTTCTTTTGAAAGTAAGGGTTTTTTGATTATAAAACAATAAGGATTTTTGAGCTAAACAGTTGGATTGGTTCCGTATTTTAAGCATCACAATGTTAGTGTCTTTATAAGGATTTTACTTTTGTTTCCATTACTGTGTTTAGGTTCTAGGATGGTGGGTGCCTGAGATCGTCCATTAGCTCATTGGCACCTTTTGTTATACATTCAATCTTTAGGTTATTTTTCTGGCTTCATTTTTATTGGGCCAAACCGAACGAGTCTTTACAGGCCAAATTTCTATGTCCAACTCGATCTTTTGGACTCATCATTTTTAAAATAGATTTTTGGTTCCCATTTTTCCAGATTCTTCCAATGACCGTTCTGACCCTCAAATTGTCTCAATATGCGAATTAACAAATTCAATAAATGAACAATTGTCTGCTCGTTTTCCGGATTGGCATGCTGAAGTGGTTAAATCTTTACAGGATGGTAATAATAAAGTAATTGTGGAAGGAAAGGGTGAATTATTACATTAAATTTTGACTTTAAACATTTTTGATTTTTTGTTGTGAACATTATTTTAAAAAATGTTTGGAGGTAATTCCAAGGCTGGTCCCCCCCCCCCTTTTTTTCTGTTCGCCTGACCATTTTGAGATTTTTTGCTTGACATATAATTTACAATATATCATTCGAAAGAGCTGTTCGAGCTGAGTAGAATGATACTATGATCGGATAGATTTGTCGATTTTCAACCAAATTATGAAGCTAAATCCTTGATGGACATGCTTTTTGTGATATTTAAAGAGATTAAAACAAATAGTCATAACTATGTTTATTTAAGTCGGATTTCGATGAATTTAGTACCGTTCTACTCAGCTTGAAGAGCTCTTTCGAATGATATATAAAATGTCATAAAAAGTTTAAAAAATCGAAAAAAAATTGAAAGGAAAAAAAGGGGGGGACCAGCCTTGGAATTACCTGTTTGGAAAATTGACTTAAAATTTTGAGAATGTTGAATACATATAATAAAAATGTAAACAACCTATAAAATTTTCTAAGATTTTAGACCATAATAACCTCCTTTTCCTGTCCTGTTTGTATGTATAGCACTATCTAAATTAGATATTTAATCGAATCTTATTAAAATTTCCTAAAGTTTGCTATGAGGGATAAACAATGGTTTTTGTTATTATTACACCTGCGAGTTATTATCGATGGATCCTTCAATCAATTAAGTCTATTATTGGATAGTCTATATTAATATGGATATCCACAACGAGATCTTGGTACATTTCTTCGAGTTTTCAAAAAATTCCTATTTTGAGGAAGGGGAGAAAGTTCGTCAAAGGGAGGAGCAATCATTGTGCAAGGGTCCCACTTATAATTAAAAATAAATTATACAAAATTAAAAACCATGAAATCAACAATACAAGGAGCAGTCCCAGCATAAAGAATTATTTTAGTAAATCGAGCGTACGTCTGCGGCTTTGCGACAGGCATTTCTTCCAAATTTTGAAAATACTAGCGGAGTTGGTCGGCCTTCGGCCGCCCCACCCCGCTAGCAAAACAAAACAAACCAAAAAACAAACTCCAAATCAACTTATCACAACCTCAAAATTGGCCCTAAACCAATCATAATCAGAAAAACCCGATTATCAAAACATTGACCAGCATTAAAACATTTCCTGATTACCAATACATTTAACAAAGCAAAGCATCTAATAGGTGCACCTGATAGGGTAAACACAGGATAGGGTACATAGAATTTTATAAGGAAATCACTTAGGAGGCATTAGCCCTCTCCCTCGTTTGCCCAGCTCAAAATGGGGGCAAAAACTCTGATTCGAAATTTCGATTTAAATCGCCTGCTTTTTTATACCGCCTGCTTCACAATTCCCCCTGCTTCAATATTCCACCTGCTTAACATCCCCCTTCATTCCCCTGCATCAATATTCCGCCTGTTTCACAATTCCCGCTTTCAATATTCCGCCTGCTTTACAATTCCACTTGCCTCTCACAATATCGACTACTTCACAATTCCACATGTTTCAATATTCCGCCTGCATCACAATTCATCTTGTTTCAATATTCCGCCTCCTTACCAATTCCTCTTGCCTCTCACAATTCCCCCTGCTTCACATCCCACTTCATTCCCCTGCTTCAATATTACGCCTGTTTCACAATTCCAGGTTTCAATATTCGACTGAAATTTGGCGCCTAGCACTTTTCAAATGAACGTTGACGTCTAGCACTTGACAAAAGAACGTTGACGCCTAGCACTTGACAAATGAACGTTGACGCCTAGCACTTCAAATGAACGTTGACGTCTAGCTCAAGAGGGCACAGGACTCCAGCAAACGTTGACGTAGAACAGTGCACAGCAAAGTTGAGACTGTGTTGGTAGCAATTGAAGAATGAACAAAATAGTCTGCTTTTATACTATATACTTACCCTTACCTTACCTTATCCTTACAACCTTACCCTTATCCCTAGTTTCAATATTCCGCCTGCTTCACAATTCACCGTTTCAATATTCCGCCTACTTCACAATTTCCCCTGTTTCAATATACTCCTAGCTTTAATGAACGTTGACGCCTATAACTTGACACATGAACGTTGACGTCATGCACTTCAAATGAACGTTGACGTCTAGCACTTGACACATGAACGTTGACGCCTAGAACTTGACACATGAACGTTGACGTCTAGCAATTCAAATGAACGTTGACGTCTAGCACTTGACACATGAACGTTGACGCCTAGAACTTGACACATGAACGTTGACGTCTAGAACTTGACACATGAACGTTGACGCCTAGAACTTGACAAATGAACGTTGACGCCTAGCACTTGACAAATGAACGTTGACGTCTAGAACTTGACAAATGAACGTTGACGTCTAGCACTTAAAATGAACGTTGACGCCTATCACTTGACAAATGAACGTTGACGCCCAGCACTCAAGAGGACACTGGACACCAGCAAACGTTGACGTAGAACAGAGCGCAGTAATGTTGAGATGTGTTGAAAGCAGTTGTGGAATGACCAAAATAGCCTGCTTTTATACTATCCTTTTACCCTTACAACCTAATTCAACTGGCAACGATTTACTATAAAAACCCCCCTTTTCCTCACTCCCCCAATCATTTTACTATAAAAGCAACTTGTCTATAAAAGGACAAACAAACAGACACACACACCCTTCTCAATTATATAATTAGATTGGACGATTAAGGGCTAAATTTTAAGAATAGGAAAAACTATTAGAAAAATTTTCATGAATAAAAATTTGAAATGAAAACTTTTAAAAACAGGCAAAGTTATAATTGTGTATACATATAGGTATATACATATAATAAAAGTAAAACAAAAAATCAACAGCCAGTCAAAATCCTTCCATCGAAATCAATAATATGCGGCCGTGGATAATCTTCCGGTCTTGGTGGAGAATCGTGATTCTTAACAAACTAAAAAAACTTTTTACAAATCAGAATTTAAAAAACTAGAGAAACAGACATTTATGCCATACAAAAGGTCAGAAGATCGTACCATACAGTTTACGACCTTAAAGAGTGCTGCGCACATAATAGCATCATCATCTGGGTTATAAAAAAATTTTATTGAGCCAACGTTCATCCCTATCAGTCCTTTTGCACTAAAGACTGCGCCACCAGAATCACCGGGCAACGTATGAATGTCTCCCAGCAAAAAAGGACCTTCTTCTACCATTCCATCTAATAATTAATTTTAATTAATTTAATCTGTATAATTCAAACCTGAGTAATATTCCAATCGGGAAGTGCGAATAGATCCACTTGAATAAGTAAGCTCTCCAGTTATATCACTTCTTCCACAAAGGAGTAATGGTTCAGCAGGAAAGTAATCATGAGAGAGAGCAGGCACTTTCTCCATTTTCTCACCACTTTTTAAGATGATAAAATCTAGCCGCTCACAAATGAATCTGACTCTAGTTATGTACGATCGAGTACCATTGTAATTGTAAATTGTAACCATTTCTCCAAGATTAAAGTTCTTATGACTGCCGTGTCGAAATGTGCAGAAGAGATCTTTTTCCATGCATATAACACAATCTCTTCTATCACATTCCTCAATATAATAACAAAAATCTTGGACAGCCTGTGCAGTTGGAAGATTGTCTAAAAATGTTCAATATTTTTTAATAAACCTTTAAAATGGATAATTTTTAGAAATTTTTAATTATCAATTATTTGAATTTTTCCGTCTCAAAAAATAAATGCCAATTCTAGTTTTCCCCCAAATAAGTATTGTATAACCTTGGTTATTCGATAATTTTATTTCGATAAAAGTTACCCTGCACTTCGTCATAAAGAGCACTAGATTTCTTTTCTGAAAGATTATAAAATTATTTGAAAATTTTGTAATTTTGAAAAGTACGAAAAAACGATCTGCACATGTAACAAAAATAAAAAATGACAAACAGCAGTAAATTAAAAAAAAACTAACTAATTGAGACGCCGGAAAATGGACGCATAATAAACAACAAGGTAAATAATGTGCCTAGGATGCAGAGTGTGCAGAACATAAAGTCATAATCGTTCAGAATAAGGGTTAGGTACATTATTGCAAGTCCACTAACAGCAATATCAGCTACTTGTTGAATCATTTTTAAATTGCACTATAAATATTTAAAAAAATAATTTGAATCAGGATCACGGCGCTTCCACCCTGTTGACGCACGCGCGAAAACTAGCTAACTCTTTTCCTTTGACATAACGCCAAAATTTAAATAAAATGTCTGTTTACTCTCTTTATTTTATTGCATCTCTCGTGCGTCTGACTTTTTTGTAAACAAGAGAAATGGTCAGAAGTGGAAAATTTACAAAAGGGCCAGTAAACTAGGAAAATTCTAATTAAATAAGAAATTATAACAATTAATCATTAAATCCACGATCATGCAAATAATTGAGTAAAAAATGGTGCCTCATCATTCTTTCGATTTGTAATTTTCTGTCCCGGACGTTACGGAAGCGGAACTCCTGTAATTAACTTTGTTAAATTAACAAGTAAATTATAAAAAACCAGTTTGTTGAAGACAGCATGGTAACTTTCAATCGCTTGCTCAGAAGCAATGCCCCACCATCCATGTCTTTTAATGAATTCAGAGCAATGGTGTCTAAGGTAATGAAGCTTTGGAAATGGTCTTGCTTTTTTTGCTGCAGAAGCTGCCTTTTCTCTCACTATTTCGTTAATATTTCCATTGTTGGTTAATATTTCCATTCTTCATTCTTGGTTCTGTTTGACTAGATACAGATTTCGTTCTGGTTGTTGTTTGGGTTGATGCATCTTTTGTTTTTGGCTCAATTTCTACTTGATTGTTCACCACTTTTATTTTCATTTCACGTTGTTTATTGGCCTTAAATAAATTCGAAATGTTCTTATTCTTTTTTTTTCGTGTTGTTTGGCCCATCTTGTCTGAGCCATCATGCTCTTTTTAAGATAAAATGCACGAGTCAACATCTGAAAATTTTTAGAAACTTCCGTATTTCTTTCTAGGATTTACACGTTTATGATTCCTAGTAATGGTCTATTGCGGATATGCTACAACTTTGGGGTACATTATATAGGAATATAATGAGGGATTATAGATTATATCCCCCAACTAGGGATATAATTATAACCCCAAAATAAAGGCACCAACTATACATATGTATGATTCCCAGGACGGAAGTATTACGAGTATAGAACCCCTTTGGGGTGCATCATATAAGAATATAATAAGGGAATAGATTATATCCCCCAATTAGGAATCTTATTATGCTAAAGTTTAGTTTACCGTGGGATTTAGTCTGAATCTTCTCTTGAAAATGTTTTTGTGTTAATACGGAGGAAATTTAAAGAAAGCAACAAAATAATCATTTTAACATTTAAAAATAAAAAGACTAAAACAAAAGTATTGTATCACGAATTATTACAAATAACAAAAATTAAAAATAAAGTATTCACTGGTCCATTTGATAATTGTAAGCAATCCCCCTCAGAAAATCAATTATAGGTTGTAATTCAAAACGTTGGTTAGGTTGTAATTCAAAACGTTGGCTTAAATTATATTTGAATTTTTAACCTTTTTCATTGCATATTTATTAGGAACATGTGCTAATATCGGGGTTGGCACGTTCTGAAGTGTATTAGCACGTAAAACGGCTGGTGGTTCCATAGTCGCAACAGCCCTTTTTTCAACGTTGTTATAATACGCTTTTTTCCAATGTTCTCAGCACCAGAAGGGCAATTATGCTCACTTAATTGACGCAGAACATTTTCTTCAAATAAAAAATAGAAAATAAAAATAAACAGAAAACCTTCAAGATCTGTGTGAATTCGCCCTTTACATTTAAAATCCTTTGTGTTTAAAAACTCACATCTCCAAAATTTGATGTCGCCATCGTTGTTAAATTTATGAAAAACATATAAAAATCCATTGTGCTCAAATTTTGTCATGCCCTTTTTAGATTTAATTATGGGACTGGGCCGTTTTGGCGCGGGGCCGTTTTGGCGCGAGCTTATAAGATAGCGAGTTCGTTATCAAAAATGATAAAGTTTTGCAATAATAACTCTCGCACCTTTATCTAGGTTCTCCAAAGATTTCAGAATTTTTGATCAAGAATTTCGGAAATTGTGGCCAAAAATGTTGATTTTCTGCAAAATGCCTAATTTTTTAAGGTCTATCGACTATAACTTCGGAAATATTGGATGAAAAATTCTGAAATTTCTGGAGGAGGTAGTCAAGGATGTTAAAGAAATTTGAGAAAAATTTTATAAATTTAGGTCTCGCCTAAGTGCCACTTTTTTGTTCTCGCGCCAAAACGGCCCGGCGCCAAAACGACCCCAACCCCTTTTTAGATTTAATTATAACCTCCATTCTAACTAGAAAATTAAAAAAGAAAAAAATATTAAAAAAAAAACAAAAAAAAACGAAAAAAAAACAAAAATCTTAAAAAGTAACGCGGGGACTCAACCGTCCCCATTTGGTAGGGACTCAACCGGCGGTACTCAAACGGCCAGGGACTCAACCGGCGGTACTCAACCGGCGGTACTCAAGCGGCGGTACTCAATAGTCTCGTTCCCTCAGATAAAAATGATTTTTTCTGTATATCCTGATTAAAATTTTTTTTGATATTTATAGTGCAATTTAAAAATGATTAAGCCAGTAGCTGATATTGCTGTTATTGGACTTGCAATAATGTACCAAACTCTTATTCTGAACGATTATGGATTTGTGTTCTGCACATTCTGCATCCTAAGCGCATTATTTACCTTGTTGTATATTATGCGTTCTTTTTTCGGCGTCTCAATTAGTTAGTTTTTTTAATTTACTGCTGTTTGTCTATGACGAACTTGGCATTTATTTTTTCAGACGGAAAAATTCAAATAATTGATAATTAAAAATTTCTAAAAATTATCCATTTTAAAGGTTTATTAAAAAATATTGAACATTTTTAGACAATCTTCCAACTGCACAGGCTGTCCAAGATTTTTGTTATTATATTGAGGAATGTGATAGAAGAGATTGTGTTATATGCCTGGAAAAAGATCTCTTCTGCACATTTCGACACGGCAGTCATAAGAACTTTAATCTTGGAGAAATGGTTACAATTTACAATTACAATGGTACTCGATCGTACATAACTAGAGTCAGATTCATTTGTGAGCGGCTAGATTTTATCATCTTAAAAAGCAGTGAGAAAATGGAAAAAGTGCCTGCTCTCTCTCATGATTACTTTCCTCCTGAACCATTGCTCGTTTGTGGCAGAAGTGATATAACTGGAGAGATTACTTATTCAAGTGGATCTATTCGTACCTCGCTTTTACAATATTTTTCTGGTTTGAATTATACACATTAAATTAATTGAAATAAATTATTAGATGGAAGGGTAGAAGAAGGTCCTTTTTTGCTGGGAGACATTCATACGTTGTTAGGCGATTCAGGTGGTGCAGTCTTTAGTGCAAATGGACTGATTGGAATGCATGTTAGAGTTACTCCCTGTTATTATCAGTTATGTAGTGATGTTATTTACAACGCAGCACACTTTAAAGTTGAAAACTGCATTGTACGAATTTCTGACCTTCTACGTGGCGTAAATGTATGTTTCTTTAGTTTTTAATATTTATTTTCTTAAATAATTTTAAAACAAGTTTTAATGTTTTTTAGGTTGTTAAGATGATAGATTCACCGCCCAGACCGAAAGATCATCCACAACCACATTTTCTGGAATATGAAGGCAAAATGTTGATGGGCTCTTAATTATTTTTTTTGTTTTACTTTGACTATATATTTTGATTATATACAATTTATGCTTTATTATAAATTTGATGACATATTTTTCTAAGAGCTTTTGTTTATTTCAAATTTTTATTTCGAAAGTTTTTAATATTTTTTTGTTCTTTAAATTAAGCCCATATTTTTAAAATCATCATTTACTTGAATATCTTCAAAATTTGGAAGGAATGCCTGTCGCAAAGCCACAGACGGATGCGGAATTTACTAAAATAATTCTAAATGCTGGGACTTCTCCTTGTATTGTTGATTTCTTTGCTACTTGGTTTTTAATTTTGTAAAATTTATTTTTACTTATATTTCAGGTGTGGCCCTTGTACAATGATTGCCCCTACTTTTGATGAACTTTCTAATAAGTACCCAAGCTTGAAGTTTATCAAAGTCGATGTTGACAAGTGCAAAGGTTTTTCTTTTAATTTTAAGGGGTTTTGTTATTACATTGGTAAAAGCACTTCAGTGTGAAGCTGCCGAAACCCTTTGGTTTCTCCTCGGAGCAAATTTTAGGGATTTTAAGGAAATTCGTGAACTTTACTAACTGAACAGGTTTTGAATGATCTCGCTTTGATTTCTTACACTATCCATACAAATATATAGTGTTCCTTGGTTAGAGGCTTTCTCGCCTTGTTTCAAACTCCCTCGCCTGCTTAATTTTCATAATTGTCTAAAAAATAGCTGTTTCAAATTTAAAATTTTCATTTAAATCCTTTATCTAATAAGTCTTCACATTTCTAGAAACTAAGAACAAATATATGGTTAACGCTATGCCGACATTTCTGGTTCTCATAAATGGGTATTTTTTTAGATTATTAATTTTATTAATTTATTCTTTTAGTCAAAGAGTTGATATATTAACGGGTGCTGATGCAGGCGCTCTTTCAAATTTGGTACATAAATGGTCTGTTAATTGTCCTACGCAAGTTAGTTCTCCAATTCCTGGTCAACATGATATTCTACAATTTATTGATAAAGGCCAATGTGAATGTTTAAATGAGGTTTTTTATTTGATGCTCATTTTTAAAATCGAATTTTCTATCCCAAACAAATGAATTTTGTATCACCTTATTATTTTTTAATTTTTGGAGATTTGTAACTGCGAGTTATTTTCCCTAGAAGGAATTTTTTTTAGATGATGTATATTATATTTTCCGAGCCCGGACCTCATACTCGCATACAATGTGGGGAATAGGGGAAGAATACTAATTTTCTATTTATTCTTCAGAGTCTAAAGAGTCCAAATATTTTCTAATCACAAATGGTTTTATACATCTTTACTTCCTTTTTTCTTAGGTTTTTTCTATTTTTTTAGGAAGATACACATCCACTACGTCATTTACTCGATGGAAATGGTCCTCTTGTTAGTGACTGCGACGAACAACTTTTAATTAACTTGCCATTTGTTCAGCCTGTTAAAATTCACTCAATTTTATTTCGAGGACCGGCTGGTGGGAAAGGACCTAAAAATGTCAAGATTTTCGCAAATATTCCCGTTACTTTGGGATTTGATGCTGCCCAGTCTTCAGAGCCTGTTCAGACTGTTGATTTTTCTCAGGAACATTTGATCGCCTTGAAATATGTCAAATTTCAGGTTTTTTGTTTTTTTTTGTAAATTTTAAATTTTCATTTTGGGAAGCATAACCTATCTCCACATAAAATTCTTTAATTCCCCCCCCCCCCCCCCCCCCCATTTTTATCTCCTCTTACATCTACCAACTCTCGGTTTTGTTGCCTCTTTTCATTCAAAACAATTCTATCTACTATTCTATTAATATTGATCCCGATTCTTAATTTTTATTTTTAAATTTTAGAATATTCACAATATTCAACTTTTTGTGGAAGACAACACTGGGGGAGGTGAACAAACTATAATTGAAGAATTTCGTATTTTTGGAACACCGGTTAGTCAGGCAACAAATATGGCAGAGTTTCGACGTGTTGCTGGAAAGGCTGGAGAATCGGACCATTAAATTGTGAAAAAATTTTTGTTTGAGGAATTATTTAAATAATTGTTTTTGACAATAAAAAAATATTTTTTTTCTATAAATTAAAAGTAAAAACAAATTAAAAATTTATTTGATTTTGTGTTGTTATTTAACGAATAAAATATATTTTTTTAATAATTTTTCATTATTTGTTTTATCACAATTTTATTTTTGAAATTTATTTTTAAATTAAAAAAACTTTTTATTGTTAGTTGAAAAAAAGACAACAATGCCGCCAGTAAATGTTGACAATCTTATGCGGGAACTTAGTATTGACCAATTGATTCAAGTTCAAATTAAACTGAGGTATGAAAAGATTTTTTAATTTAAACGTGATTTTGTGAAAATTGAAAGCTTGGAACGTTTTTCCGAAAACTTGTAGTACTTGACGTGATTTTTAATCCCATTGACTTCCCTCAACATTTGTTCACAAACAAATCGTATGAGTCCTTTAAATTAGGTTCCTACGAAGTCTATTATTCTAAGAAGTTGGAGCCAGCTTTCCTAAATTTAAGCTCAAATTTTCTGAAACCATCACCACATATTATTACTTTTGGGTTGAATGATGTAAAATATTAAATGATATAGAAATATCCTATCAAAAAACAGAAACAAAACCTTCCATGGAATAAATAATCAAAAAAATATTATTCTAACTAATTTAAATAATTCTAGAAATGAAACAGAAAATAAACGTGAAGATCTTCGTCAAATGGTTGGTCGACGTTATAGAGATGTTTTAGATGCATCTAATGCTGTTAAAAGGTTTTTTTAATTTAACAGAAATTTTTTCAATTAATTTTTAAAGATTAACTGAAATAGCTTCTGAACTTTCAATTTTATTAAATGATACAAAACGTTCGTTTTCTGCTCAACAAAATTCTGATTCAACTTATGAATATACAAAAAGGGCAGTAGTCAATGCTGGTCGACGTCTTTTGTTGTTACATACACTTTTACCTCTTATTGTAAGGTTTTTTTATTTTTAATTAATATTAGAGAGATTGGAATGGAGTTTGGTGAAGTAAAACTTTGGAGATATTTCTGGGCTGAACCAAAATCTTAATTGGGTGAGAAAATAACGCCAGACCTAGAAGGGCCCAAACAGGGTTCGGATTGGTTACCCGAACTTCTTGACTCGAATTCGGACCATAGAAAAATTTTGGAATTTGACTCTAATCCCGACTATAGCCATCATTATCTAGATTTATTTTCGACATTATTTTTTAAATTTTAGGCTTCAACTAGCGACCTTTTAACTCGTTCCTTTGCTCTCTGTATAGCCGAAAACCTTCAAAGACAGCTACAAACTGAACAACACCATCTACTTGACAAAAAAGACGAGAATGTTCCTTTACTTTTGTCTCTTCTCTCTGAACGTTTATTTCAATCAAGAATTGAACTTTTAAATGAAATTGGGGAGGCTATTGGGTTTGAAGTAGATTGGCGTTCTGTTACAACCCTTTTGGCTGCTCAAGCATTGTTAAAACCTCGAATGGATGTTTCTGAATTATTAAAACTTTATTTGGAATCGAGAATGGTTTTTTCTTAATTTTTCTGAAAATTTTCCAAAAAAATTATTTTTATTCAGAAAATAGTTTCTCAAGTCCTTCACCAACCTGATTCTACACTTCTTGGTTTAGTTCGTCATATAAAAGACACAATACAATGTGTTGAACAAACATTTGGAAGAGGTCAAGGTTTCCTTTCAGCAATTCAATTTGTTACAAAAAAGGGTTGGGCGCCAGGTTTTTAAAAAAAATTTTCAAAAAAAAATTTTTTATTAATTTTTTAGAAGAAATAAAGCAACTAGCAGAAGATCAACCACTCTCAACTAGTCGAATTCTTGAAAAAGAAATTGTTTTGGTCAATGGGGGATGTGTTGAAAATAAATTTAAATTGCAAGATAAAAGTGTTATTCAACGAGCTTTTTTTGAATGGATTAATGAGTTTATTTTTTTTATTTTATCAAAATTTTTCTTGATAATTTTTTTTTGAGGATTGCCCTTAATAATTACAATTATACTCGTTTTAATAAAATTTGACTTTGTTGGGTTATTTTTCCCCTCGATGCCCATAACTCTGAAATTCATCTTTACATTTTTCTTGAATATTATTTTTAGAGTCTGTTCAATTGCACGTGACAGAGTCAAAGCAATGTGTAATCATTTTGAACGAATTGAAGAGGCAGTAGATTTTACTGTTGCAGTTGGTCACATTTTCAAAACGGTTTAAAAAATTATTTGGAAAATTAAAAAAATAGTTTTTAAAAAAATTATCAACTTAGAGAAAATTCTAATTTTGTCCTTTTATTGATAAAAATATTTTTTTAAATTCTCTTTTCCTTTAAAAATATTTTTTTTTAATTTTAAAGGATTGGTTAACAACAAATTCATTTATTGAAGAAGATGGGCACGAAAATAATTCAAATACATATTCTCTTATTTATAGACAATTATTTGGAACAACATTATTGGAACGTTTTAATCAACTAATTAATGAAGGATTAATTTTACTTGAAAAGAAATTACATTCAAAATTGCCTTTAATTAATTGTAAACCGCAAATGCCTTTTCAAAGGAGTGGAATAGCTGCTGTAAGTTTGGAAAGAAATTAATTTTTTAATTTATAAGGATAGTAAGGAATAAAAAGATTTTTTAAAAATTGTTTGGTTTTGGAGGAACATAGTTGTCCAGTAAATTTTTAAAATATTTCCCAAGCAATTGAAGTTTTTTTTCTTTATAAAAAGTAAAGATATAGAGCAAAAGTTTTTTATATATGGTGTAATTGTTAAGGTGTTTGCCTAGCTTGTTGTAACTTTTAGGGGTTCATTTGTCAGGGTTGCCGGCCCGGTCCGAAAGATCGAGGCGGGCATCGAATTTTGGCCCGAAAAAGACTCGGTCGGGCCGGTCTGATAAGAATAAGGCCCGAAATAATGATTCGAACGTCGGCACAACTTGAAAACGGCTACCCTACTTTTAATGTTAAGTGTAAGCTTCAAGGAATATTTAATTTTTATTATGTATTACTATCTTTATTTTTTTTAATTATGTATAAAGGAATATTTTCCCCTAAACCTATAAAAATTCTTTAAAAAAATAAATTTAAAGGTTAAATTCGACCCTCAACTAGCTTCAGGAATTTCAACAGAATTACAAGAATTAGTTTCAGAATTTAGTGAACAATTACTTTTATTACAAAAAAATGTTTATAAATATACAAATGTTGGGCAAGAAGAAAATGTTGGGGAACTTTATAATGTTCTGGCAGAAAAAGTTCTTTTAATGGTTGAAAGGTTTTGTTTTTAATAAAAAAAATTCAAATTACATGATAGGTTAGGGAGTTTTTTTTTGTTTATTTTACTCTTTTGACTATTTCTATTCTTGGATATTTTTAATTGGGTACAGCCCAAGTAGGCGCGCGGCCATAACGGCGCAAAGCCATAACTTGCTTCAAGATTTCCGAATCTTACCAAATAGAGATTTAAACGATTCCTCTCATCGAACTAAAGAGAATGGTACCAAAATTGACAAGGGCCAGAAATCTTCTAGTAAGTTATGGCTTTGCGCCGTTATGGACGCGCGCCTACTTGGGCTTGTCCTTCTCTAATTTACTTGGAGTTAACTTTAATTTAAAGTTAATAAGTAGATTACTGACAAATGAATAGACTTAAATAGGAGTGACAATTGAATTCCAATTGATAAATAAAAAATAAAAGCTACCATTTAAAAGAGCTTTGATAAATTCAGACATTCTACAAAATCCTTTGGCGCTGGTCTAGTTTATGCGTCCAATGGACTTTTATGCGTCCATTGAAACTTTGAGTCCAATCAAAAGACAATTGGATTTTTCTTAGTGTTAGTATTGCAAAGTTGGGGTATGGTTCCAAAGCATTTTTTCATGTCCGGGACCTAAGCCCACTGGGTCTGGGACCGTTTCTTGCCCTATCCCTCGAAATTTCGGAAAGTTATATGGACGCATAAACTAGACCAGCGCCAATCCTTTTTCTTAATAAAAAAAACTTCATTAATTTTCACAGATTAACAAATTTTTCTGAATGGGAAATTAATTTAATTAAACCAATAACAGAACAACAACCAACAAATTTTGAAGAAAATAAAAATTCTTTATTTTTATTTAATAATAATAACGAAAATATAATAACAACGAGAGAATTGAGAGAAAAATGGTTATCTATTTTTCGTTTACTTTTGGCATTAGTACAGCATGAACCTTCTATTTTATGTCAATGTATGAATCATAATTTGGAAAGAATTGTCAATTGTAATAAATTGTTACATAATGCTACTGAAGAAGCTCTTTGGTTTTTTTTACTTTTTTTTATAAATAATAGGGGTTGTTGGCTCTATATGAAATGAGTGTTTGGAGTGTCGACTTGATATTTTTCCTTGGTTCCTCGGCATGGTTAATTTTTCCTTGGTTTTTAACGCCTCAAAGAAAATAAGGAAAAATATTAAGCTGGCACTCATTTCATATAGAGTCGTGTTGTTCATGACCAACTAATTTTTACCTGTGGCGGTACCAGAGATGTTTCGAAACAAAAAAATCTTCGAAAATCAAAAGAAAAAAACCCTCGGAAATCAAAATTTCGAAACATCTCTGGTCGGTCCAGATGGAAGATAATACTAAAAGCTTTGGAGCCGTCACAGGCAAAAACTAACCGATCCTGAACAATCTTTTTATTATGAAATTTATTTAATTTTTTTGATTAAATAAATCAAGAATTTTAAAATTTTATTTTCTCAATCTTACGTTCCAAAATCGAAGAGAAGAAGAAATTTTAAATAAAATTAACTTTTCACTCTTTTTAAATTTAAGTCAATTTATGAATTGTGTAATTAATGAACATTTTCGTGCAAGTAATTTATATCCTCAATTATTAGAAAATGTTTCGAGTTGGTATGGGTGGATGGATATTTTACAGGTTTTTTTGGAATTTTTAAAGTATTTTTTTGGTTGAAAAATTGTTTTTGTCCATAATTCTATTTTAATTAAAAAACAAATTAAAAATTCTTCTAATTTTTAGGAACCAGAACATGTTAAACTTTCTGAAACAGTTGAAATTCTTGTACCAACACAAATTTCTTCTCATTTTTATATTCTTTTGACAGAAATTTGTTCAGAATTAAATCAAAATTCTCTTGGACATTTATTTACTAAAAATGTTACTTTACACGTTTCTAAACAAATTGGTAGGTTTTAATGAAAGGGAATAATAATTTTTATTAGTCAATGCCCTTTCTTTTCTAGGAATTGAATTCCTAGATTTGAAAAAAAAACTTTTTTTTTGAGAAAACATAAACTTTCTAGACGAAAGAATATTCTCATTATCTTCCCAAACAAAATTTAGTTTAAATTATTTCGTCATTGCCAGTTCGTTTCTCTTGCCAAATCGTTTCGTCGGAGGATGACTGATACAATAAAACTCACAATTTATTGTTAATCATCCTCCAACGCTCCCTGAAAAACGTGCCCTTAGGATTCGGGGCCTGCCCTACTTGTCAGTTATTGCTAAAAGCTTCGCTGACACCATTTTCAAGTACTTTATACTTACCGAACTACTGTGTCAATGACTCTTTATTTTTATAAATTTCTTCCTTTTTTCTACTTTTATTCCTTCTTATAGGCCATTTATTTACTCTTATACTTCAACAATGTTTAAATAATTGTGCTTCAATACCAGCTATTTGTGTTCAATTAATTTTTGATTGTAAAGCATTCTTTCAAATGTTTCCAGATAAACAATTTTTGGAAATTAGTAAACAAATTGAATCAAAAATGGATCCAATAGAAATGAATATATTACAAGAACCTTTACTTAGAAATGCTAAATTATTTGCACAACGAACTGCTGTATGTTTGTAAATAATTTTAGAAAATATTTTTTAGAAGATTTAGACAAAAATATGTGTATGAGAACAGTCTGATCTAAATTTAAAATTCCCTTGTGGGGCTGTAGAAATTGTATCTAAAAACGAAGTTACTGCAAATGCTCTAATTAAAGCCTGGCTCTATTAGAAGCACATATCTAATATAAGCTCACCCAAATTGAAAAAAACCCAGGGCTTTAAGTATTTACGTATCTAGATTGAGGCTATCACTTATTCAGTTCTATATCTCCAAGTAGACAATAATTTTTAAAAATCGGATTTAAAACACTGAATTAAATAGGGGAATATTTAAAATTGTAATCCTAGTGTATAGAAAATAAATAAAAGCTTAATTTTAAAAAATTAAAAATTTATTTTTAAAATTTTATTCAAAAATTTTTTCCTTAATTAAAAAAATTTTTTAAAGATGATGTTTGGTCAATTACAATCAGAACCAATAACTGCTTTTAACAAAGAATCCCAACTTGAAGAAAGTTATAGTTCTTTAGTTGACCTTATACCACGCGTTCAGGATGTTCAACGTTTGGCACAAATTCCACGTCTTTCCAAATTTCGAGTAAAATACTTAAATATTATTTTTAAAAATTGTTTTCTAAAGGATTCAACAAATCAATGGAAAGGAGAAGAAAACGAAAATAAAAATTTATCAATTACCAAACAACAAAAAAGACAATCATCAAAATCCCCCCAACGTTTTGAAGGGATTAAAGGACAACAACAATCTTCTACTTCTTCATTTTCTTCACTTTATGACAAAATTTCTACTAGCTGGTTTAAAACTTGATTGAAGGAGGAGGAAATATTTTTTAAATTTTATTTTTGTGATATTCAAATAAAAGAATTTTTTAAGCATAAATAAAACTGTGTTAAATTTATTTTTGATAAAATTGGGATAATTTGATTGTAAAATATTTATCAATTAATAAGAATTACTTAGGCGCCTCATTTTTACATAACCCAAAAATATTTTTTTCTCAATTTGATTAACATTGGGTAGAGGAAATGCCTAGGCTTTATCCCCAAATATTAGATAGTCTCGATTTCATATACTTTCTTCATCCTCAAGGGTTTATGTAAAAATGAAGTCCGACTGTACAGAAAATTTAACAAATAAATACAAAAATAAAAATTAATCCGTTTTCTCTTCAAAATAAAAGCCAATTAGCCAAATGTAGTAACAAATAAGTTGCTACTGAACAAACAAGGCAAATAACATAATTACTTATTGAAATGCCTATTTGAAGCCAAGAACCGTCTGTTTTGAGACAATAAAAGAATACCTAAAATTGGAAAAATTTTAAAATAAATTACTAATATGTTTTATTTGGGCGTCTCACCGAAAAAATTTCTAACTTCCCATCCCTAAACAAAAATCACATCTTTTTGGATCTTCCACAAAAGGGAAATTTTGGCCCTATACGCAAATATAAGGGAGGTTTGGTTCTTCCCTTCATTTTTTCTCCTTTCTTAAAAATGGACAATTCTCCTTGTAGTGGCATGCCCACCGCAGCGATGATAAGAATAGGTTTATGTTACTGGTGGAGACCCCAGCAAACCGTTGACTCCCCGCGAAGCGCGTGCCGCAAACAAGCGTCTCCAAATTTACGATACGTTTTTTAAACTTGGTTGTCCATTAGGTGGGGGAGATGTCCGCCCCCAGAAATTTAGATTATAAAATCCTTTTAACCCCAAGAAATAGATCGTATAGTTCGACTGCAATTAAAGAGAAAGATAGAAATAAGTAGAAAAGCTCTAATATGTGGGTAATCTTAAATGCGGTGAATTGTTCTTTTTAAAGTCTCCCCAACCTACCATAGCCATAGAATTTGTAATTAAAGCAACAATTGTAGATAATCTTTTAATTACTTCATTATTATTTTGATAAAATTTAAAAGAAGAAGAAACAAAATATAAAGAAACTAATAAAAAAGGAATAAATATTTTTAAAAGTAAAAGTGCTGCCATAATAAAAGGAGAAAATATTGAAATAAAATGATGAAGAAATGAAGGGTTAAATGAATTTAATGAAGAAATATTTCCAGTTCCAAAAAATGCTGAAAAGAAAATTATTTGGTAAAAAGAATTTTTTATTAAAATGGTGGCAATTAACAGTAGAGATCGAGCTGGGCCTGGAACAAGGCCTGGGGTTTTTCCTGTACCCAGAGTCAAGGCCCAGACATTTTTCGATCTTCCTGGGTTTTTCCTGGACTTTTTTCCTTTTCCTGGCCCAGGATCTGGCCCAGGTCAATAAATCAAACCCGGCCCCAGGAAAGAGTCCAGACTTTTCAATAATATCGATCACTATTTCACCATATAGACAATTGGTGGTTGGAAATTTTTAGTCAGTGGAATTTCTGTCATTAGGAAAGTAAACAAAAATGACGTTTTATTTCAGGCATTATAATTATTTTAGAATAATTTAAATAATTCTAAGCATTATCCGAGAACGAGTTACTCCTATAAACCTAATTTTATATATTTTTGCAAACAAAATTCCACTGATAAAATTTCCTGGACTCACCAAGGTGTGAAATTCTTAAGAAATAAGGATATTGAAATCTGTAGTGACTTTTGTATTTGCGGAATTTTTAAAAAAATTAGGGAATACGGCTATGAAAAATTTTTCAAGTCCCCTTAATCAGCTAAAGTTTTACTTACCCATTTCAATGCAAATAACCAAAAATACAGCTTTCATAAATTCTGATAAATTAATATTTTTATTATCTTCTTGACTAGATTCAAAAATATTTTTATTGGGTGAAGAAAAATCTGAAAAAAAAATTTTGAAAAGAATAAACTTTAAAAATTTTTCTTTACTCAAACTTTCCCTCAATTCACTCAGATCTCCAGTTCAATAAATCCCCAACTCCCACCCGATATCCTTAATTAATTATTCTAATTAACGTGTCATTCACCTAAGTTTAAGACTATCACTTTTCACTATAAAAGCACCACAATTTTTTCATAAAACAAATCTTCTTCTTCTTCACTTCCGCCGACGCCAACGTATCGCTGCTTGCAACAACAAAGATGATCCATCCCATGATGAACAATCCAATGCTTGGCCCGTATCCTGTGACGGTATGTTGATTTATTTTTTTCTTCAAATTAATTCTCTTCAAAATCTCTCTTTTTTCAGCTCCAGTGCAACACCTGTGGCGCAGAAGGTCTAACGAGGGTCGTGAAGGATCCAAACAATATGTTCACCATAGGATGTGTCGTGATAACTCTGCTCGGCGGCTTCTGTCTTACTCCTCTTCTCTGCTGCTGGACCTCGGCCTTCGACTATAGCCATCACTGCTCGGTATGCGGAACTTTGTTGGGCGTCAACAAACATTAAAATGAGGAAAGAATTGGACAAAACTTGATATAAATAAATATATTGTTTTGCTATTGTATTTTTTGTTTTGCCCAAAATTGTTGTTGTATTTAGCTTGTCTTGTGTAATTTATGGTGAATAAACAATTGAATAGTTTTTCGTTTTCGATTGCCAATTTGTAGTATAAAAATGCCTAAATAAGCAATCCTCAGGGGTTAAAACTTAAAGCTGAAATGTCCAGTAAATTTGAATCCCTCTCCTTTTGATTATCCCTCCCTAATATTTCTGCTTATATTTCAAACAAAAGCAGTTGGAAAGCTTTACTTTCTATAGTAAAAAAACTTTCTAAAACAACTTTGCCTTGCAAAACACTTATTTGCCAAACGTCAAAGCATCGCTGCGAACCTACTACAATAAACTCTGATTTTCCCCAATTAAAGGAAACTTCACTTGACCTCCAAACTTCTTTCCTATTAATGAATTTTCCAAACTTCTTTTAATTTTACTGTCACCATTAGTTGAAAACAAAACCCAAAAAATTTTTAAAGTCGTCTTATCAAAAACATAAAAACATTCCGTCGTAATACTTTTAGAGAGAAAAGTTATTTTTTCATTTAACCTCCAGACTTGATTCCTAATTTTAAAATAGACTCCAACCTCTCAAAACAACAAATATCCTCTTCTCTTTAATAATGTTTAAAAACTTTTTAGCCTTAATAAATTAATAGCCTTCACTTAACCTCCAAACTTCTTTCCTAATTTTAAAACAAACACCAACCAAAATTCTTTTTCTCAACAACAAACATCCTTATCCTTATTATTTAAAAAAATAATTTTCCTACCTAATTCCAATTGAAAATAAACATTTAAGAAAGCAGAAAATAAACATAAAAATAAAGCTTCATGTGAAATAGACAATAAACTAAAAGGTAATTGTAAACAAATACTCCAAATAATTAATTGAATATTTAAATTAATTTTTGTTGTTGTTTTTATTTTTTGTTTCCAAAGAAGGGGAAGTATAAAAGAAAGGGGAATAGTAATCCAAGCAAATAATTGTTTTAATAAATTGTTGTTGGTGGTTAATTGAAACTGGAAAAAATAAATAAAAATTTTTTTAAAAATTTTCTTTTAGATTTAAAACATTTTAAGGCCAAGAATTAATTTATTTTTGAATGTGTAAAGCAGGGAACGAGCCGAGAAAAATTAAAAAAATATAAACAAAATTCACGATTTTGGGAATCGGGACGGCTCGTTCCCTAGTGTAAAGTGAAGCTGGCCTCCATCCCCCTCCCCTCTGGCCTAAAATTAAAAAGGCGTAAATTAAATTGAGGTTAGTATTATAGCAGGGATCGTGCCGACATAAAAAATAAATATCGAGAATCGTGAATTCACGATTCTTGGTATAAACTGGGGTTTTCTTATAGTGGGGTCTGACTGTAAAAACTGCTAAATATTATTCTTTTGTTATAGAAAAGGGAACCCAAACGTTCTAAAAATTTATAAAAAAAATAATTTTTGAATTTTTAAAATTAAATCTCAAAACAAAAATTAGTATAATAAATGAAAGACAGCAGTTTGAAATTTAAAAAATTTTTCAATAAAAAAATTTTTTTACCTCAAAATAATCAAATAAAATAATCAAAAAAGTAATTAAATGCAATATTCCAATAAATACAATTAATTTTTGATTAAAATATTTAAAATAATTTGAATAAAATATAAAAACACAACAAATAAATTCTGCAAAAATAACAAGTAAAGGCCTTTGAGAATTACCAACTGTATCCAATAAAGGAAATATAGACAATAAAATACAAAGAATTAGCCAATACCTTTTTTAAAAAATTAAAATGAAAAATTAAAATTATTTTTTGAAATTCTTGTAGGGTCATGAAAATTTATCTATGGGACACGCACTTGGGAATGCGAAAAAGTTCTCAGGTAAGACGAAACAAAACGAATCAAACTAACGAAGCTACGAAAGAAAATGTTTCATAAATGCTTGCTTGGGGCGTCCGTTAGCTTATCCATATCAGAGGTCGATCGGAAATGACGAAGGTACCGGGACTCGAAAATCAGCTCAAATTTTGGGAAGTCGGAAATCAGAGAGAAAAAAACGTCGGAAATCGGAATTTCAATCGACCTCTGATCCATAACAATTTTAAACGGCTTTAATGGAAGGCTAAGAAATTTTTGACGCCAAATAATCCCGACTCTCCTAACAGACAATCCCAAATCCGAACAAAAATATTAAGGAACCCCAAATTCAATTTTTAAAATTAAAAAATCCAGAACACAACTCGTGTAAAATTTCTAATCCAAAAATTAAAAAACAAATTTTCCTTAAAATTACCATTTATTGTTGTTAAAATCCCCAGCAGAATTACTGACATTAAATTTTGTTGGAAATATTTCTTCTTCTTCTAATACTTGTTCACGTCTAAATTGCCTTTCTCTAATTGAATTAAACTCATTGTTATGTTTTGAATATTTAACTTTAAAAAATGGGAAATTTTTTATAAATTTTGAATTATTTAATAATCCAAATTTACTAGAAAATTGGATTTTCTGGTCAAATAAATGACAAAAAAAAGATTTTTTATTAAAACACTTAATTGTGAAAATAAGAGATGAGAGTGCCTAGGGTGTCGTTGGACTTCGGGACGAAATTTTGCAGACCCTTCTTTAGTTGTAAAATTTTCACCATTTTAGCAAAATGTTACCGTGGACCGAGTTATAGTCCCAAAAGTTTCCCTTTCCACCTATAAACAATTTCTATTTTGTTACGAATGTGTTCATAAGTGGTGCAGTGATACCACGTACACCCTAGACACTCTCCTTTGTAAGGCTTAAGAAAATCCAATATTTCTAAAATTTAAAGCTCTGTAGCCGCGGAATCAGTCGATACTTTTAAAGGAAAAATGTCAAAAAACCACAAAAATTTTAATTTTTCTATAACTAAAATTAAAAAACCAACAATTAGTAATAATTCCATCATTTTCTTTCATTTTAACAAAATTTTGTTTGTTTCTAATATTTTTACAAATCCAAAATGGAAAAATTAACAAAAATATTAAAGAAAGAGTAAAACGTTCAAAAAAGACAAAAACCAACAAAGAAATTGAAAAAACTTTAAAAAATAAATTTAAATAAATTTTTAAAAAATAAAAATTAAAAAAAAACCTGTAAAAGGTAATCCAACAAAAATTAAAAATAATTTATTTAAATTAAAAATTTCTTCATTTCCAAACATTTTAATTGAAATTGAGAATAAATAAATTGGAGTTAAAAAATAAAAATAATTAATTAAAAGCCATCCATTTGCCCAAATAATTGTTGAGGTTATAAATAAAATTAAAAATAAAAGTTCATTGGGTAAATAAAGTTGTTTAGAAGATAATAATAAATGGGAATTTTTTCTAAAAAAATAGAAAAAGAATTTTTAATTAAAAAATATTAAATGGAAAAAGTAAAGAAATTGATATTTTTATTTTTCATTCCTCCAGATTTTTTTAATTTTTTGAACTCGAATAAATAATAGTTTATTAACAAAAGTTTAACAGCGGGCAGATTCGAACCTGCCACCGCCTCACAGTTATTTCAAAGCGCTTTTGCTCATCACATACATGAGCTCCACCACTGATTGTGAGCTACCGGGGCATCGACCAATGTCTCTCTTCTCCTTTTTTTGATCGTTTAACCCACGCCTAAGCATCTTAAATGCTCTAGGTGAATCATCATCCTTACAATAAGACTGAAAAATCATGCTTGAAATGAGGAGTATCTTAAATCATATAGGAAAGGCTGCTTTATATTTAAATTAATTATTCCTTCACATTAAATATTTTAGATAAAATTTTCCAAGAAAAATAAATTTCTTTACTTTTTAAATTAAATCAGGGTTCCGATTCGTGCTTTAATTGAAAGTAGGGTTGGTCCCCGACCCCGACTAACCCCGACCCCGAACCCCGACATTTTTTGACCTAAAACCCCGACCCCGACCCCGACATTCCCAACCCCGAAAACCCCGACCCCCGAAAGTTCGACCCCGACGACCCCGAACCCCGAAAAATTTTTATGCCCCCGACTCAAACTGCATTAATTAACAAGAGATCGGAACGGGATCGGGACTTTGATGCTAAATATATGAAGGAAAAGGGAAAGGAATATTTATATTTTCTCCTGTTTCCCTTTGTTGGTCGATGGTTGAGTGGTTAGGTTAACTTATTTCACCCATTTAGCTATTTTGATAAAAATGTTGTTCAAATCCAGGGATGGAAATAAGGCTGAGAAAATTTTTCTTCTCAAAAATAAATATTTTTAAACTATGATCTTGATTTTAAATTTGTAAATTTATTTTTTTAAATATTTTAAACTTGAAACAATATTAGAAATTTTAAACTAGTCATGAATTTTCCAAAATTGAAGAAATCTGAAATTGAAGAAAATTGATTTTCCAATTTTCAATTTTCCAAAATTGAAGAAAATTGAAGAAATCTGTCTCTTGGCCTTCCAAAATTTTAAAAATTTTTGCCTGCGGCGCCGAAAATGGAAGAAATCTGGCTCTTGACCTTCCTAAATTCTCAAAATTTTTGCCTGCGGCGCTAGACACAATAAAGGGATACAGAGGCTTTAGGAGAAATTGATGGATAGATGGATTTCTCCCGTTATCCTTGCAACTCCTCGATATCCCGTCAAATCCCTCTAAATCCCATTATATCCATCTTAATCCTCTGATATGCCTTCATATCCCCTCAATCCCTTTACATAAGAAGGGGAGTAAGAGTTATTTTGTGGGTTTGAGGATTTTGGGGATTATGAAGGATAAATTGGATAAAGTACTTCTTGCGCCTTCAACTAATCACGAATTAGATACAAAAAGTGAAGATAATGAAGATTAAGTTGATTTTTTAATAAAAATGTTGATTTTGAACAGTAATTTTGGATAAAAATGCTGGATTTTGTAAATTTTCACTTCAACCCCGACCCCCGACCCCGAACCCCGACATTATTTTCAGCCCCGACCCCGACCCCGAACAATTTGAGCAACCCCGACCCCGACCCCGACTTTGTCAACCCCGAAAACCCCGACCCCCGACTTTTCCAACCCCGAAGGCTCGGGGACCAACCCTAATTGAAAGTATTCTACTTTGAAATCGACCTCCATACTTACGAAATTGAATTTATACTTTATTGAAAGTATATACTTTGAAATCAGCATTTTTGATTGAAAATGAAATTGGGGAAGGGATTGGGCAAAAAAGTGAATTTTTTAGCCTAGGGCCTTCGAAATTCTCAAAATTTTCGCCTGCGGCGCTGAAAAAGAAAGAAATCTAGCTTCTTGGGCTCCAAATTTCAAAAAATTTTCGCCTGCGGCGCTGAAAATGGGAGAAATCTGGCTTCTAGAGCTAAAAAATTCTCAAAATTATCGCGGCAGCGCTGAAAATGGACGAAAGAAAGTAATTTGCTCGAGGTTAAGACTGTCAGGGCTTTATTTCTTGTATCAGCGAATTTTTACATGTCATGCGTTAAATGCACAAAATGCTCAGTGGAAGCAAGAAATTATTAGAAAAGATTCATTTAGGAGAGAAATATAAAAGATTTGAGCACGAATAAATATTTTCTAATTTAATTTGAAGTATACTTTAAATTTGGAAATTTTCTCCCTATATACTTTTAAATCGAGATTTTTATACTTTTGGTTGGTATTTTGTCAATCGGAACCCTGAATTAAATTATAAAAATAAATACCCAATAAGTGAAGCATAAAGTAAAAGATTCCAAGAACAAAAAATAGCACAAATAGCCAAACCTTGACTAAATTGGTTATAACGATGAAAATAATTTAGAGCTGATCGAATTATTGGAATTAATTTAATACAGGCCTTTAAAGAAAAAATTTGAAAAATAATGAAAAAAGGTAATTTCTAATTTTTGGAAAATTTGGAGTTTCTTGTTGTTGAGAAAGGACAAAAATAATGAAAAGTGAAAAAGAGAAAATACTTAAAGATTTAAATGAAAACAATAAGCATTTTTCACAAAATCCAAAGCTTTCATTTCGAGCTCCCTAATATGGTTCATCACAATTCTACGAGCTATCGAACCATAATTAAAGAGAGTCCGGGACTCGGTAATCTTAAACCAGAGCTCTGAATAAATTGGCCCATCCCTGTTCGGTCCGGCCTAAATTCCCCAAAAAATACTTTAAAATTAAATGAGTTTAATTTTTCCAATAAAATACACAAACCTTCCAAGCAGCTTCATATCTCTTTAATTGTGCCAACCGAATAATTTCATTTTCAATTTTTACCAAACCTTCATAACTCAATTCTGGGTATTCACAAAATAAAAAACGGAAAGAATGTGCTCTCCTCTCTGCTCTTCTAATTAAAAATTGTTCTGACATCTAAAAAAATTTTTCAAAAAAAAAATTTCAAAAAAACCTGTTTAAAATTTGCATAAACACTTTGGAAAATATATTTATCAGGCAGATGTCCCAACAAATTAATCGGAACAATTCCAAAAGAATTCGAAGGTATTGCAATGCCCAAAAGTGCTGATTGAAGAGGGGCAATATCCACTTGAGTTAAATTAATTTTTGTTTTTGTTGGAGCTATTCCTGATCCCCAAGCAACGAATGGAGTTTGGACTTCATCTGGAGTGCCATCACCTTTTAATTGAATTTTAAAATTAAAATATAGAAAAAGCAAATATCATAAAGGGTTGATAGATAAAAAAAAGAAGCAGACTAGAAAAGCCGGATCCAAACGAGAGCTGGAACAAAAATCTAAGTCATCGAGATCGAAATTTCGCATAACACACCGTGTTCGGACTTATCAGGACTGACATATCGGGATTGGTGTGAGAAAAATAATTTCTTGCGTGTCTGCATTTGTTCTAAAAGTATTCTTCGATGGGACAATATACTTTCCAAGGCCCAGTGACCGTAGGTACTGAAATCAGTAGAGTAACTGTTCGTACATTGAAATATCCATATATGTCCGCGTGCCCTTTTCATGATTTTCCTATGACCTCCCAGCAGAGGTGGATCGGAACAATCAGAGGTGTCGGAAATCGGAAGAGCCGGAAATCGGAAATGGCTAAAAAGTCGGAACTCAGAAATCGCAAATCAAAATTTTTTTTCGGAAATCGGAAGGAAAAAAACGTCGGAAATCGGAAGTCGAAATTCCGATCCACCTCTGCTTCCCAGTCCTGTCTCTAATTCTTTAATTCTCATGTAAAATTTAAAAAATTTTAGAAAAAAATTTAGAAAACGTTAATTAACGTTTCAAGGACAATTAAAAAACAAACGATCCCTAAAATTAAAGAAATAAAAAGTTTAATACCATGAGAACCCCAATCAGTCATTCCATGATCCGAAGTAAATAAATAAACTGTTCTAAAAAATAAATTTAAATTATTTAAATTAAAAAACCTTTTATCATTAAAATAATTTTCAAATAAATTAACAATTCTTTCTATTCCTCTGTCAACAATTTTTATATTTTCTAAATATTTTTTGGAGTTAGGTTTGTGTCCATGCCCATTTGTATCCAATCCAAGCAAATGAAGAAAATAAATTGAACGTTTAATTGAAAGTTGTTTTGTAGTTTTGTTATCCCCTTGTTTTGCACGATTGAAGAATTCCTTTAAAAATTTTTTTAATAAATAGGAAAACTCAAAAATAAATTAAATACCGTAAATGCTCTGATTAAAGCCCGTCTCTATTAGAAGCCCATATCTAATAGTACAAGCCCACCTAAATTGACCTATTGAAAAATAGACGTCGAGGGCTTTAATTAGAGCATTTACGGTGTATTTAAAAAATCGAAAAGTTGAATCTGTAGAATAATGGGGATAATTGGTGCCTTCACCAATTACGTGAAACATCACTTTAGGGTTATATGTAGTTGGTGTAACAGTTCACACTCATATTTTAAAAGTGAGAAAATCTAAATAGTATCAAAATCACTCTTTGATTCTAATCGTTTAGAATTGTGCTTAAATATCGGAACTAGTACACTAGAGATCGGCAAAATTACATATCCGAGATCCCGTAACAGGATTTAAAAGTTGAACGGGAGGGATCCCGCGTTCGTCGCTAAAAACACGGAATCCCAAGACGGGATCACGTAAAATCCCGCCTGGGATCCCTCCCGTGTAGATCTCTAAACTACACTAACCCTAAGCAAGTCAAAAAATATTTAAACAAAAATATCCTAAAAAATAACCTCAACTTTATCAAATACCCATTCATCAAGTTTAGAAGCCTCTTCACTTGCAAAATCTTCCAATTCTGGAGAATAAAATTCAGAAAATGAATGAGGAATATTTGTTGCGAATAAATTAATAATATCCGGACTTCCCCACAAAAAAGAAAATTCTGATTGATTAAAAGTTGAATCGAAAGGTATTGGATTATGTCTAAAATAATTTGATTTAAAATTAATTTTCGAAAAAATTTACAAACTTCCAACCACGCGTAACAGCACTAACATCTTCATAAAATCCAGCAAACAAAGCTACATGTCCAGGTCTAGATTCTGTTGGCACATGACTTTCAGAAATACCCCAAACTGCCTTAAATTTGGGAAAAATTAAAAAATTATTTTCTGAGAAAGGAAAAATTATATTGGAAAAAAAATAAAAATTAAGAAAAATTAAAAAAAAAAAATAAATTTTTGAGGAAGGAAAAATTAGAACGGTTCAAAAAATTAGGAAAAATATCCTTCAAAAAAATGTGGCTGGCCCTCAAAAATTATTTCCGGCACCCTCAACGTCGCCAGACAATATTCACCAATTTAATAGAAATTTCGGTTTGTGTTTCAGAAAGTTTCTCAGGAACCGCCAACCTTAGTAACAAAAATCTTTTTAATTTTTAAAAATAATAAAATAATTTCAGTAGCCCTTTTAAATTTTTAAGGTCAAAATTAAACTAAAAAATAATTCAAAAAATTACCCAACCTTGGATCCATCAATGAGAGAGTGATTGGAAACAAAAAAACTTAGTGAAAAAACTTAGTGAAAAAAAACTTAGTGATTGGAAACCAATGAGAATACGGTACGACACAAAATTCTGATCCATTAAAATTACGATGCGTTAAATCTTTTTCGAGATTGAATTAAACTAAAAAATAATTCAAAAAATTTAACCTTCGATCCATCAATGAGATAGTGAATATAAGGAGACATATAGGGATTGTCAAAGAACGAACTTGCACGAAGGCCATCTAAAATTAAAAAAAAATTTTTTTAAATTTAAATTTTTAACCTGCAGAAAAGAAAACAATTCTGTCAGCAGGTGTTAAAACATTATTTAAATTGCTTCGAATTATTTTAAAATTTCTTCCTCCTTTCACAATTGGTGAAGAATAATAAATATCAAATATTGAATATAATAAAAGTAAATGAGTAAATATTCCAAGAAATAAAAATATCATCAACTTAAATATATATTCTACCAAAATAAATTCAATACCTATAGTATTGAAAAATAACTTTTTTAAAAACGTAAATAAACTTTAAGAATGTCCCAAAATTTTAAGCATTTTCGTATCAAGCAGATATTCCTCTATAATGTTGCAGTTCAATTTTATCGGTCTGAGCTGATTCGGATCTTTTTCGGGCTCAATTTTGAGTCTGAACGTTCGGTTATTTTTCGGATTAAATTTTTAAAAAGATTAAATTATTTTTCTCCTACGATGATAAAAATTAGGGTCTCATGAAGATCCACCTACCTAAGGAACTACGACCAATTTTTATGCTAAATGGCTCAAAATCCCCAATAGAAAAAGGTATACAAGGCAAAATGTAAGTTTAAAATTAAACAAATATTTTCTAAAAACATAAAAGGCAGTCAAATTTATAAGTAAATAAATGTATAGACATTAAATAAATTAAATGAGAATTTTAAGTCAAATATCACTAAAATCACATTGAACACTGACTCCTGGATGATGATTAGCAGTATAAGCAGGTACAACCGGTTTTGCTTCAAGTTCCTAAAATTTACAACTTTATGATAAATTAAATTGTAATAAATCGGGAATACACGTACCTCCCAAGAAAAAAAATTAAAAAAATGAAAAGTTCTAATTTGCCTTACTTCTCAGTTCAATCTGCCTTATTTAAAAATAATCAAACCATTAATTGCTCCATTATACGGTCAATAGTAACAATGTAGTTTTTTTTATCAAAGTGGGCTAGTTGCAGTTCCATTGAAAGTGCAGACTTGCCAGTGTTAGCAGTAAAATCGACAAAACCTAGATTCAAACCGACAAGACCCTCAGGACTCCAGACAGCCGCTCCTGAATCGCCTCCTGTTGATTTGATAGTCCCTAACAAGAAAGGACCATGAACGACGCCTTTAATTTCAAGATAAGAAATGTATATACATTTAAAAGGTCATATAAACCTTTTTCCAGAAAAGTTTGTAACTCATCAGCGTGTATAACACCCTCACAGTAAGAAAGAGTGTTAAAGTCATTTCCATATCCATAGTAACCAACAGGCAAACTTCTAAACGGAGGCTTGCAATAAAACGGCTTATGGTTGTTTATTTCCTTATCGGTCTTTAACAATATAAAATCCAGCTTTTTGTTGATGCTTTTAACTGTGGCAATGAAAAATTGTTTGTTGTTAATGCCAGATTTGGAATCATGTCGATAAATTTTTAATGAATTTCCAATTTTCCAGGTTTCATGATTGTGGTAAAACGTGACAAAATAATGCTTGGTTATCGACGTTACACATGACTTTCTGTGATTAGACTCCATAATAAAGAAAAGGTACTCAGACAATTCGTCAAATTTAGGCAAATCACCTAAAATCACCCTGATAGAGAATATTCATTAAAACAAAAAATTACCATGCACATATTTATAAGGTTTGACAAGTTTACGAGTGTCTAAAATAAATTTACTTAGTTTAGTGCAAACACAAGTATCAAAAAATTTAGTTAAAAAGACGTAAAAGCTCAACAAATTCAAATCTTAAAAAACTAAAAAACTAACCAGGTAACGCTTTAACAATCGGAGGAATCTGTTGTTGATAAATTAATTGAAAGTCTTTCCCCGTCCAGCCGCCATAAGGTTCCGTAAAAACCATTTTCTTATCATCAAATCTAAATAAGTTGAAACGTATTTAAATTATCTTTAATAATCATACGGAACAACGCAGTTCTCTCCAATACTTGGAATGGAACACTCTAAGCCCCAACATCCAGGGAAAACATACTCAAGCGAAGAGAATGCCAAAGTCCCATCAGGGGAGAGTTGAATACCCCGCGTCTTTTTTGTAATTTGGTCAGTCACAGGAATAACAACGGGAGGAATCTTTTGTTTATAAATTAATCGAAAGTCCTTTCCCGACCAGCCGCCAGAAGGTGTCGTAAAAACCATTTTCTTATCATTAAATCTAAATAAGTTGACATGTATTTAAATTATCTTTAATAATCATACGGAACAACGCAATTGTCGCCAATATTTGGAATGGAATACTCCAAGCCCCAACATCCAGGAAAAACATACTCAAGCGAAGAGAAGGCTAAAGTCCCATCAGATGAGAGTTGAATCCCCTTAGTCTCTTTTGTTGTTTGGTCAGTTACACGAACAAACTGAAAAAGGATTTAAAGAATTCCCAAATTTTTTAAGTGAGACTTTATCTTTATTCTTGTTAGACACGAATATATCCCTTATCATTCGAAGTCTCCTTACAGGCATCTTATTTTCTTCATTTTCTTCAGAATCATGAGGGACTCTTCCATTAACAATTTCGTCCCCTTCACTGCACATTTTTGACAATTTAAATCCTAAATTTGTAAAATAATTTTTTCAGAAAAAAATAAAAGCAGACAAATTATAAATAAAAAATCAATGCCGCTACAAATTAGCAAAAAAGAAATAGGCGGACTCTCAAACGCGGGTAGAGGATTATTAAGTCCCACCGGTTGAGTCCCTGTCTATATTTTGGGTCGGAGCAGGACTAATAGGCGCGGACGAATAGGCGCGGCCGAATAGGCGCGAGACGAATAGGCGCCCGAAGTTATTTTTCCCTAGAAAATTTTTTTCTGATTTTTTGTTCTGATTTCTTGTTCTGATATTTTTCCTGATTTTCTGTTCTGATTTTTTTTCTGATTTTTTGTTCCGATTTCTTGTTCTGATATTTTTCCTGATTTTCTGTTCTGATTTTTTTTCTGATTTTTTGTTCTGATTTCTTGTTCTGATATTTTTCCTGATTTTCTGTTCTGATTTTTTTTCTGATTTTGTTCTGATTTTCTGTTCCGATTTTTTGTTCTGATTTTTTTCCTGATTTTCTGTTCTGATTTTTTTCTGATTTTTTGTTCTGATTTCTTGTTCTGATATTTTTCCTGATTTTCTGTTCTGATTTTTTTTCTAATTTTGTTCTGATTTTCTGTTCCGATTTTTTGTTCTGATTTTTTTCCTGATTTTGTTCTGATTTTTTGTTCTGATTTTCTGTTCCGATTTTTTGTTCTAATTTTTTTCTGGTTTTCTGTACTGATTTTTTTGTTCTGATTTTGTGATACATGTAGGTTGGATGTCGAGTGGGTTGGGGGACATAGCGAAGGATAAGATATGTAGGTATGAATTGACGGAACTTATTTACTTTAACTACCCACCCCATTTAATCGCAAGAAGTTCATCAATCAAACTTGATTTGTTCAGAAAGGTCAGCCTTTTTTTCTTCCTCGATGTAGCTAAATTTTCCCTGTGGCATGTTCAATGAGAGAATTAATAAAAAATTGAGGTAATTTTGAATTTAGTACCCCCCTCTTTTTTCTTTCTCAAGTTGTTAAAAATGGTCAGTCTTCAGATGAATGTAGAGCACAACGAGCCAACGAGCTGTGTCGAATGACACCAAAATAGAAATAAGAATTTGAATCAATATTCTTATTTTTGCCATTTCAGTTATTACCACATTGTTAAGCAGGACCATGTACTTTTTTGGTACCATTTTCTTTTATTCTTGTCTTTTTTTCATGCGTTTCAACTTCTCCGGCTGTGTTTATTTAGTTAGATAAACATGGACGAATCAAAAAAATCTTAACATTCACGACTCAGCATTTTGAATAATTAAAAAGGATGATAACGATATTATGAAATCAAGGACTAAACTTGTGGTAATAAACTGAAATGGCAAAAATAAGAATATTGATTCAAATGTTAACTTCTATTTTGGTGAAATTGGAAAGAAAAATTTATCTTTTTTTATTAATTTCTCTCATTGAACATGCCACAGGGAAAATTGAGTAACATCGGGGAAGAAAGAAAGGCTGACCTTTCTGAACAAATTAAGTTTGATTGATGAACTTCCTGCGAATAAATGGGGTGGGTAGTTAAAGTAAATAAGTTCCGAATTGACATCGGGGACTGAAGATACTTGCGTACTCAGGATTGCGGCTGCGGAAAATATTTTTTCACTTGCCGACAGCCCTGATCTGAGTTCTGAGATACTGAACCGCTATTTTTCTGAGCCGTTCCATGATGTAAAATTGGTATTTAAATACCCTACTCTTAGCGCCGCATGCGAAAATTTAGAGAAATTTAGAAATTGGGAGAAAAATAAAAAAAACTCAGAAGAAAAAATCAGAAAAAATTTTCTACGAAAAAATAAATTCGGGCGCCTATTCGTCCCGCGCCTATTTGTCTCGGCGCCTATTCGGCCGCGCCTATTCGTCGTGTACCGATTTTGGGTCGTAACTTTTTGGAATTTCAACTAATACGAATATATCCCTTATTATTCGAAAGGACAGGGCATGAGGATTGTTTATCGGCAGGATTGATTTTAGATCATCTCTAGATAAGTGTGCGCAATAGTGATTTTTATCTTTATTAAGCTGTAACTTTTTGTATGATGATCTGATCAAATCAATCTTGCTTGAAAAAATAATCCTCACATCAAGAGCTTTCGATTGATATATTAATTATCTAAATCGATTAGAAATCAAAAAGGTTATGCCCAAAAATAGATCAGGGACTCAACTGGGACGTTCCGCTCGGGACACGCCCACGTAGGCGCACAGCCATAACAGCGCAATGTCATAACTAGCTGGAAAATTTCTGACCCTTATTTAATTTTGTTACCAATTTCTTTAGCTCGATGAGAGTAATCGTTTAATACTAAATTTGTTAAGATTCGGAAATCTTGAAGCAAGTTATGGCTTTGCGCCGTTATGGCCGCGCGCCTACTTGGGCTGTACTCGTTCCGCTCAAACTGGTAGGAGACGATTCAGTATCGCCAATTCAGTGTCAGGGGCATATCTTGATAACCTTGATTCTTAACCGATTTAGGTAAATTGTTATTTTATCAACTGTCGGCTCTAAATGTGTTGATTATTTTACCTAGCAGGATTGATTTGATCCTACAAAGTCACAGCCAAATAAATGCCGACAATCGTGATTATTTAGCTTTAACTTTTTGTAATATGTTCAGATCTGATATATCTAAAAATAAAATTTGTAAAATTTTTGTTCTGTATTTTTATAAAGGTATTTTGTTTTCCAAAACCTGTCACATATTTGGTGAAAAAAAGAAATTTTTTTGAACAATGTTTAATTTTTCTAAAACTATCAGATTGTTGTTTCAATTCATCAGCTTTTGGTCTCGTATCAACTAAATTAAGCACCTTGAAGGAAAAATGGAGGCTTGACATAATGAAAATATTTTGGGGTTAAAAATATTATTTATTAATTTTAAGAAATTTATTTGAAGTCGACAAACGGAAAAAATGAAATCTGCAATAAAATTAACAGATATTTTTAGCAATTGCAAAGGCAAGAAAATTTTAAATAAAATTTAAAAAATTATGAATTAATACGTACTTATTATATAAGATCAATATATAATCAAAAATTAACCCCAAAAAATTTTCTAAAGTTTTTGTAAACCCGGCCTTAGTTAACCAAAAACAGGAGGTCAATCAAAAACTGAAAAGTGGGGGTCGAAAACCGGCCATACCTATGATACCGGTTAATAACCGGATGTGTTTAAAATGTGTTTAAAAATATTTAAAAATAAATTGGCAGGCTTTAACCTGTTAAAAATGAAAAAAAATAAAACAAAAAATAATTTAATCGAAAATCAATGAAAAATAATTTTTAAAAAGTTATCGTTATCCATAAATCAACCTCTCAAATTTTATACTTTCATTTTTCTGATTTTAAACACACTATATGGTTTAGTGTTAATATAATTTTTTTCTTCATTACGAAACGAAAATTTCACTCTTGAATTGTAAATATTGGAAATTTGATAATTTGTATATCTTACAATCCCTTCTTGTTTAATTTCAACCTTCTCTGCTCTTTCACTTAATTTATGATTTGTGTAATTATGAATGAATAAATCAATAGCAGGCGCAATTTTTGAACAATCTCTCGCTGTTGCTATATACTAAAAATTAAATTTATTTTTTATAGATACATGTAATTAACGTGCGGACATATCGGGACGGACATATCGGGTTTGGTGTGACAAAAATTATTTCTTGAGTGTTTACATTTGGTCTAAAACATAAAAACTCTATTCCTCATCAGGACAATATACTATCAAGACCTAGTGACCGTAGGTTCCGAAATCAGTAAGGTAACTGTTCTTACATTGAAATATCCCGATATGTCCGTTTCGATATGTCCGCGTGCCAACAATTTACTTCTATAATATCATAAAGCCTTGCAAAATTAGAACTATTTAACCAAATTTGTGAGAATTTACTTCCTTCATTTATTATCTTATTAAATAAAATATTTGTTTGTTGTTCTGTAATATCGACACTGATATTGAGGTTAAAGTAAGAAGTTGATAAATGATTGAAAGAAAAGTTAAAAATATTTTCAAAGTTTTTCTTTTCAGCATCAAGATTTGTCAATTGAATGTTAAGTTTAAGAGAAATTGATTTGTCGTTATCAAACAAAATATTGATCATTTCTGGATTAAATATACAGTCAAAAACTGACCACTCAAAAGTACATTTAAATAAATGTTCTAACCAACAACGAGCAATAATCATTTCTTTAATATTTTTTGGAATATTTGGCAATATTAGGAGATAATCTGGTTCCTCGTCCTCTGAACCTGACGTTTTTCGTATACGAATAAAGTTTCTGTTAGGTCCAGAATTATATAAAAGCAATGGAATTGATTTGTCTATAGCTGCTTGCCACTGAAAAAAAATATAATTTACGATCAACTCAACTGAGTCCCGGACCCTATAACTTATGAAGGGTTAGTCACTTTTTTTTTGCTCCTGATACCAATGGATAGAGCATTAAATAGGCTACAATATACCAGAAAATCAAAATTCCTGACCGACCGGTAAAAAAGTCATGATCGATAAAGTGCCGAAAAACAGATTTTTTCGAAAAAGTTAGTTTTTAGTTCATAACTTTTTTAGCGATCAATTAAAAAATTTTGATTTTTTGGTATATTATAGTCCATCTGATGCTCTATCAAATGATACAAAAAACATTAAAAATAACAACCCGTACTTGAGTTATAGGGCCGGGACTCAGTTGAATTGCTCCGTATCAGGCCCGTAGCCAGTGGGGGGTAGGGGGGAATTCCCCCCCCTGAAATAGGGAAAAATTTGGGGAAGGGCTGGGGCAAAAAAAGTAAATTTTTTTGGCCTACGGTCTCTAAAATTTAAAAAATTTTCGCCTGCGGCGCTGAAAATCAAAATTTTTGGCACCTTCGGCGCCCCCCCCCCCCCCCGAAAAAATCCTGGCTACGGGCCTGCTCCGTATAATTTAACTTTAAATTAAGTTAACCTTATTCTTAAGTTGATCATTTAAATTAACTTCAAAAATTCCAGATTCAAGTTCAACAAATTTATATGGAAGATGAGTTTTTTCAGTCTGACAAAATTGAAAGAAAGTTAAGTTAATGAATATTTAAAGGTAAAGCAGAAAACATTTATTCTGCTTATTTTTCAGCGGTTTTGACACTAAACTGAGCAAATCAGGGTACCAAATAAAGAGATCATATCCTGTATAGTCTAAAAAGACTAGCGTTCGGCAAATGATTTTTTCGGTACCGGGAGTACAGAGTTTTCTGAGTTCCAGTTCCATTATCAAATCAGTTCCAGTTTTTTTATTGTCAATTCCAGTTCCAGATTCGAAGCTAAAGCATGATATTAGTATTCTCAGCGCCGCATTCGAAAATTATATGTATAAAAAAGTGGCAATGTAAAAAAGGGGATAAAAAGAGGCGAAAATACTAAAAACTTTAGTAAAAAGGAGATAAAAGGGTCACCTTGAGGAAAAGTCCTTTGAATTTCATTCTTGCCAAGCTTCTTTCATATTTATTAATTAAATTGCAAAAGTAAAAATTGGTTAGTCTAACAGAGCATAATTGATTGAAATTAAGGCATTTTAATACATCAAATTGAACTTCATCTGGCAGAGAAAACATTTTAACTATCTAAAAAAGAATTATTTAAAATCGAAGAACTTCAGACTTAATGAGGATGGAAAATGAAAAGACCTCCCCTCATTTTCTCTTTCTTTAACCAAAAATCGAAAAGAAGAGTAAAGAAAAAAACTGAGGATGTGAGTCTCTTTTTCTCCTTAATAAGAGAAAAATCTCTTTAATAAGAAAAATGAGGGATGACCGTTCCAAAAGTAGAAAACTTTGAAGCCTTATAATTTTTTGAAATGGGGGTCAGAGCCATAAATTGGCAATAGGTTATTAACCGCTCTACACGTTAAGTTTTATTTAGAAATTTCTAGTCAATCCGAGTTTCTTCGAAAAATGACTCTGGGCCAAGTTATGGACATTCAAAATTTGAGTATTTAGGAGTGGTTAAGCTTAAAGAAAAGAAGATAGGTACCAAAAAAATTACCAAATTTTTGTCACAGTATCCGATGTTTCCTTGTAAGAAAAATTAATTCTATTAAAAATAAATTGAATAAAAATTATTAAAAAGTATATACAAATATTTAAAATTGTTATAACAAACAGAAAATAGGTGTTAAAAAACTTTTAAATTTTATTTTAAAAATGTCACAAAAACATTAGAAAAGATGAACATCAATTCTATAACAACACAAAATTTTCTCGATTAATTCCCCTGAAATTAATTTTTAATATAAAATAGACAAGGGAGAAGTCTCTCCTTATTCCCCTAAAAAATTAATATTTCAACCGATCCGTGGGACAGAGTGGGGTTAATTAATTTTTAAAGGGTTAATCGAGAAAATAAGGCAATCACTTTTAAAAACAAAATTAAATTATTTTACTTTTTTCATTTTTGCCATTTTCTGTGCAAAATATTGATCCATTGTAAGACTGTTTGTTTGTAAATCCAAAAAATTCTCCTCAGTTTTCCTTTAATTAAAAAATATTTTTTAATTGAAAAATTAAAGAGAAATACCTCTTCCTTTCTTTGTTTTTATTCCTTGTTTCATTATCCTCTTCAAAATTATTTTTTAATTTATTTTCAGATTTTTCTTCTTTTCTCTTCTTTTTAACTTTTTCGGAAGTATTTTCTTTTTTATTTTCCCTAGCTTTATTCAAATCTTCCAAAATTTTTGCATATTCATCATGATGGGGAACACAATAATCTTTGGTTGATCCAAGTCCTATAAATTTTTATTTTTAAATTTTAAAAAGGAATAAGAGGGTCTCGGAGCAAAAATAGGAGGAAAATGAATAGACAGGAAAAAGAAAAACTCCAAAAAATACCCAAAACTTTTGACAATTCCCGAGTACAGGCCTTCACTGTCACTCACCTCTCTGATCATTATTAGCCTTTGTTTTGATACAATCCTTAATACCAACACCTTCAGGCCCCAATCCACCACCTTTCCAACCCATTTGTTTCATCAACTTCTTTCCAAAATTTTTTTCATCATTTGCCCAATTTAAATTTTGTGGGTCAACACTGATTCGTTGTTTTCTTCTAGGCTCAGCTAGCATTGACATTTTTTCTTTAAATTTTTTTAAATTAAAAATTAAGAGTAATTTAAATAATATTTTAATTTGTTTTTAACAAAAAAGAAGTTTTGGACAAACATTTATTTTTTATTAAAGAATTGTGTCATGTTAAAATATTTAAAAAAAGATGAGGATCTCAATTTTATAATAAAATTTATTTTAAAAATTACAAATTTATTTTTTCAATATTTTTCTTTCAAAAAAATTAAACGCATTAAAATCAGAATTAAAATAAACCGGACAACTTTGAAAAGACAAATTATAATGGGCACAAAAAGAAAGAATCTAAAACGATTATAAAAAATTATTAGGTAAACTTGGAAGCAGAGATGCACGAAAATTTTTCGTTTCGTTTCGTGTTTCGTAGATTTTCGTGGATTTTTTTATGAATTTCGTTTCGTTTCGCGTTTCGTTTAAAAATAATTTTTTCGTTTCTTTCGTTTCGTATTTCATTAAAAATATATTTTCGTTTCGTTTTCGTTTCGTAACATGCCATTTTTATACGAAAATGACGAAAAAATATTCGATATTATTAGACAATTTTTTACTATTTTGTCGTATTTTTCAGCCAAAAATTTAAAAATTTTTTCCCAGAAAATGAAAATTAAAAAAATTTTGCCTGCGGCGCTGAAAATGAAAGAAATCTGATTCCTCTCTTCGAGCTAGAAGATTGCTACTAAAATTGATAAGGGCCAGAAATTTTTCAGCAAGTTATAGCTTTGCACCGTTATAGTTGCGCGTTGTTTTGGGCTATACCAATATTTGGGATGCCCTATGGATATCTCACTAGATATTTGGGATATCTCTTAAACTCTTAGTCTGTACTTGTCCCCCAAATCTCCTAATAACCTAAATTGGAGAGATATCGGGAGATTTGCAGGGAGAACAATCTCAATTTTGCAAAATTGAAGTTTTCTTAATACTCCTCCATATACTTGAATCTCTTTATATCCCTTTTACCCCCTGAATAACACCATTATTCTGATAGATAATCTAAATAGTAGACTTGACCCCAAGACTCAAGACCAAAAATTAACAAGACACAAGACTATTTTTGTCCCATAAGGCAAATTTTTGGTACTAATAAATTCTCTAAATCCCTCGGATATTTCCCAAATTCTCCAATATCCCTTTTAAACACCCAACTCGCAGAATATCTCTGTTAATACCTCCAAATTCGCATCCCTCTATATATCAATCCAAATCCAATTATGCGCCATAACTTGCCTTAAGGCGGATATCTATATCCTTCCTGGTGAAACGATGGGAAAAATTATCACCACCCCAATAAAATAGGCGTATGTAAAAGTAAATTGGGCATTAAAGGTGAATTAGGCGAGAAAATTAGGCGATAACTTAGACATTTTTATAATTTTGATTTTTTCGTTTCGTTTCGTTTCGTTTCGTAAAAATTGAGATTTTTTTTCGTTTCTTTCGTTTCGCAAAAATAAAAATTATTTTTTCGTTTCGTTTTCGTTTCGTACATTGACGAATTTATTTTTTTTTCGTTTCGTTTCGTCGAGTGCGAAATTTTATTTTCGTGCATCTCTGCTTGGAAGATTATGGAAAAATGTTAGGTATATTTTGATTTCTACAATATTTATCTGGAAATTAGACTTTGTTTTCCTTTAAATATTAAATATATTAAATCTACTAAAGGCTCCTATATTTAACCAAAAAAATTTATATAATATTAAGAAGAGGTTGGTGCTGAACTATTAAATGAATCCAGGATCCCGTCCCGCAAAGATTTAAAAAATTCCGCATGCGGGATCCCTCAAACACGATTTTACCGATCTCTAGTATTAAGTAATACTTATCCAGAAACAATGTAACTAATAATTACACTGTCTTAAAAAATAGCCTACTATGTATTTTTCCACAATCTTCCTCACATAATTTTCTCCTATAATTATTTGGGCTAAAAATTGCAATAAAAATGACAAGATCAAAAAATGTTTTTCTTTTCAATTTTTAAAAGGTCTAATTTCCAGAATCCAAATTTCAGACATAAAAGGCGTCTTCATTGGGGCATTTTGAAATAAAGTTCCAGCAGAAACAAATAATTGTGTCGCTTCATTATTTAAAAAATAATGGCCATAAAAATATGGCAAGAATAAACGGGCGAGAGGAGCAACTATGAGAAATTGACCGGCATGGGTATGGCCTGGAAAAAGAGTATTTTTAAATAAATTTTGAAAAAGTTTGTAACGAGTTGTTGAAAAAAATTTAAAATAAATTTTAACCTGACAAAATTAAATCAACTGGGTGTGAAAAGTTTTCAGAAAAGGCCAAAATTTGTTTTGTGGCAGAAGGATTGTGTTCCAAAACAATTGTTGTTTCATTTAAAGGGCATGCTTTGATTGCAGTAACGTCCATTTCGTGATTATGAATTCTAAATTTAATTTAAAAATAATAATTTTTTAGGAAAATTTTTTATTCTTTAGTAGAATTGGGCATCTAAATCAGGAGTTGTCAAAAATTGAAAGAAATTTATACAACCGCAATTCACAATTAATTTAATTTTAAAAGTAAATCTGTAACTCCCAATTTTTGTCAACACCAAAAAAAATTTTTTTATAATTTTTTATTTTCTCGTCAAGTAAAATAAAATATTTCTGGGCTTTTTTTTTCTGGAGTTTCTGGGTTTTTTTCTGGGTTTCTAAATTATTTCCTTCTCAAATATCTACACAAATTAAAAAATATTCATACCCGCTCTCCTCACTGTAAATATCATTTAATCCAACCAAACAAAATCCTTTTAAATTTACTGCTCTATAAAATAGAAAATTTTTTAAAATTATTTTTCAATAAAAAACCTATTTTTCAATATTTTAATTCCATAAGATTCAAATAATTCAAACCATTCATTCACATTTCCATAATAATATTCGTGATTTCCAGTCACATAAAATGTTCCGAAATGGGAGCGTAAATGTCTCAAAGATTCAACTCTTTCTTCAATTAAATCGCGTGGAGCGTCGATTATATCGCCTGAAAAAGATTTTTTGAAAATTTTTAAAGAATAAAAAAACCTATAAGAAAAACAGCATCCAAATCTTTGATTTTATTTACATTTTCTACAGCTTTAGCAATCTGTTCAGCATAAACAGCTGCTCCAGCATGTAAATCTGTGAGTACAGCTACCTAAATGGAATTGATTAAGACAAGGAAAAGCAAAAAAGCTGCTAGATTAATTAAATAAGAATTTTAAAAAACTCTCGAATTATGAAGAGAAGAAAAAATAAAATGTTAATTTAAAATGGGAGGGTCCTTATTAAGCCAGTAATCTTTTATATGTGTTTAATATAAAAAAATTGTGTCCGTCCCTCATATTTACAAAATGAAAATTAAACTAAAATTGTAAAACTAAAATTGAACCAAAATAAAAATCAATAAAATGGTGATTTTTATAAATTAGATTCACAGATATCCTAAAATCATATTCTTGAGTAGCCATTTAATAGAAAAGGGGTTGAACAAGGACAAAAATATTTTTAGAAATCTAACAGGATCACACAGTCAGTCAATAAAAGTAAACCCCAAACTACAAAAAACAAACCTTCAAAGAATTTTTTGTAGAAGTATGACGAGGAAGATTAATTTGTTGATGCCTTACAATTAATTTGTCACTAGAATACCAATGAGTAGAAGAAAGTAAAGCTGTCAACACCAAAGTTAGCCCGACTTGAAATTTTCGATTTAAAGTTATAAATTTAATAAATTGAATTGAAAATAATTTATCCAAAAGTTTTCGACCAGAAACAAAAGCCTAAAAATTATAAAATATTTAGCAAAAATAAAACAAAATTAAAATATCTTATAAATAATCATGTAAGGATGTTTTATAGGGATGATTCATTAATTTTAAAATGCTAGGGCGTGAGTTAAAAATTTATAAGGGAAAAAGCAAAAGTTGTCGCTCTCTGTCGCAATCAAAAAAGCATATGAAAAAGTGTAAGCGAAACTTCGCACGTTTTTATTTAAATACCGACGTTATGTTCAGCCAGTTGCCAAAATTTTTTTCGGGGGAGGGGGCAAGGGAGAAAATTTTTCTGCGTCTAATCTATTAAAAACAAGTCTTAAAATTGTTAAAAGAAACCGGCCACCCTTCTATCAAAAAAATAAAATTAACCGAAAGCATTCTCATTCCAATATTGTAAGCCATAAAGCCATAGCAAAATAAACATAAATGGATCCAAATTCCATTACAAATTGCTGACAGATCATAAATAAAAGAATTAACTTCAAATGATTCAACAACAAAAACAAATAGGTTAAATGGGCCATTAAAAGTAATAGAATAAATCCAATTAAGCAGTAGATTCGAAGCTTCTAAAATTTTTAATTTTAAAAATATTTTATTTTTAAAAATATTTTTGCGGACAAAAATTTGCAGACAGACTTTTAGGGAAGAATTAAAATCCAAAATTGAAACATTTATGGGACTTATTCCAATTTTAGGGCAATTGTTAGACCCAAATAATTAGTATAACAAAAATTTAACTTTAATAAATTAAAACTTCTTTAGTAGAAGCCATCAAAATCGAACTTCCAGAACCTTTCTTAATACTACATAACAGCTTGTTAAACCGATGCCGGGACGGGATCCCGAAGGATAAATCTCGAAAAATCCTGGATCCCGAAAACAATAAATACGGGATTTCGGGATCTCGGAAAATCCCGTTGGGATCCCGCCCCGCGCCTATCTCTATTCTTAAGCCGAGAAAAAGGAGATGAAAATGGGCCCATAAAGATTAAAAACCCGTAACTAATTAAAACTTAAAAATTAAAAACCTCATTTTTATAACGTAAAACATTCAATTTTGAATTGAAAACAGAAAATAAATGCAAATATATAGGCAAATCCAAATGTAGCATTGCCCACTCCAAAGCTATAATTGAAGCAAAACGTCTAAGATTTCCTTGTCTATAACCAATTAATCGATTTGCCTTAAAATTAAAGAGGAAATCTATTTTAGAATAAAATCCAAAACAAACACAAAAATTCCCAATAAGCTTAATTTCACATATTCCAATAATTAAAGTTGCGTGAAAAATAAAAATCTTTTTTAAAAGCAATTTAAGTTTGGGTATAGTCATTTGAAATTGTTTATCGTAAATTATTTTTGGTTTTGAACGATGTGTTGAAGGAGAGGATGTAGACATTTTATGAGGATTTTAATTTGATCAAAAATTTCTATTAAATTTCAAAAGAAAATTTTAAAGAAAAATTCAAGAAAATTAAGAAACTCTTTTTTTCTCACTCACTCTCTATTTCTAAGTAAAGGACGGTTTATCGCCAAAATCAGAGTAAAATAGAAAACTATTGTATTCATTTTCGACAAATTTTAGTTAAGAATGTTGGCCAAAGTATGTATGTAGCAGAAACTCAAAAATTTTCGAGATTTTCAAGAGAGGTATGGAAAAAGTAAAATGGAAAAAGATTTCCTTAATCAAAAAAGGCTCTGTGGCCGAAGCCTAAGATTAGGACTAGAAAGAAAAATGGTTGAGGGAATTATTCAAAACCTAAAGAAATTCAAGAAAAACAACTCAAAAATAAACATTTATTATTTACCAAGCAAAACACACCTATTTACAACAACAAAAAAACAAACATAATTAAATATACAATTATGAGATACAAAACATTAAAAAATACAGGTATATCAACATTATTTATCACACTTCCTTCTTCGAACACTGCTTGTTTTCTCCTCACTTTGGGTTCAAGGCCAATCTGCTTATTGTGAACCAGGTGGAAGTTGATTTGTCGCTTGATGATTTTGGCCACGTCTGCTGGAAGAGGCGAAACTTCCCCCAATTGTTCCGGGCGCTCCACACGAATGGTTAGGCTTTTGTTGTTGTTTATCGCTTCCAGAATTGCAGGTCTTGCGCTCTTGATGTCCGTCACTCTTTTGCCATTAACGTGCGTCATTACGTCCCCATAGTGGAAGTTGTCATCAGCAATTGATCCTGCCTGTATTTCGCCAATTGTGATTCGACCCTGTAATTTAAAAAACCCTCAAACCCATTAAACCAAAACTGATTGGCTCACCCGACTCTCTTCCATGCTCACCCCTAGAGGCATACCGCCACGTCGCCATTTGATCTCCAAGTCCAGCACCTCCCCCTTGCCTTGTTCGCCTTCCACCCTCTTGATGGTGATCTTGTAGTAGCAGTCCCGGCGCACTCGGATTCGGAGCCTGACTGGTTCAGTACGGCGAGCACACACGATCCTGTTGAAGTCATCTGCTGTACGGATCTCCTAAAAAATTTTTGATAAGCATTAAAAGCCTTGCCTTCCTCTAGCAGATACCTCATCATTCAGGCCGATGATCTCATCACCAACGTAGAGAATGCCATTCAGGTAGGAGTTGTAGCCCACTTTTTTAACTTTCGGCGGCCTGCTCCTCTCAACGAACTCGATCCTTGGGTCGTATTGCTTGCGCTTGACCTCGACATTTATTTCGCTGACCGAGCCTGAAAAAATAAACATCAATTAGCTTAGAGATTAAGCAAAATCAAAGAAAGTCACAACTTACTTCGGACTGACATTGCGACTCAGAGTTGTTGAGCAGCAGCGACGTAGACGACAGTAGCGGCAGGAGACTTGTTGAGCAGCAGCGGCGTAGACGACAGTAGCGGCAGAAGACTTGTTGAGCAGCAGCGAACGTAGACGACAGTAGCGGCAGGAGACTTGTTGAGCAGCAGCGGCGTAGACGACAGTAGCGGCAGAAGACTTGTTGAGCAGCAGTGGCGTTGTAATTGTTGGTTGATCTGTGCGGAGGTTGTTTCGTTGGAAAAATGACCTGTTTTTATAGTATTCGCATTTCTTCTCCGAATTAGATGTATTATAAAAGCAGTGGACTTATGCTTACTGCTGTTCCTGCCGCTGCTTTCTTCTGTGTCACTACAAATCTGTTTGTCACCGATTTGCCATGTCAATACGTGGTTAGTTTTTGCCATCATAAATTTCTTTTAGCGCTTTTCTTTTATTTTCAGGGTCAATCACCGAAGTGAGCGTCCAAGTCACTCGCCGGTCCACAGAGCCCAGAATCGAGTTCGTTGAGGGAAGCAGGCCACCCAGGGTGCGCAAAATGAGCTTCGACTCCTATTTGTATGGGCGTGTCTACGTTGGCGATGAGATCATCCGACTGAATGATGAGGTATCGGCAAATCAAAAATTAGAACTTTTTAATGTCTGTTTTCTTTTAAGGAAATAACAACAGCTGAGGACTTCTACCGGATCGTGGGAGTAAGCATCAGAGAACCTGAGAAACTAAGAATCCAGGTTCGTCGCGACACTTTCTACAGGATCACAATCAGGAAGTTAGAGGGAGAATATCAAGGCAAAGATGAATGGGAGCTGTTCGACTTCGAGATTAAATGGCGGCGAGGCGGTATGCCTCTTGGGGTGAACATGATAGAAGTTCAGGTGAGCGCTTTAGCGCTAAAAGCGAAATGTATCTGTTAATTTCAGGATAACGTCACAATCTGCGGCACTGAGGCTGGATCAATTGCCGATGGTAACTTTCATTATGGGGACGTAATAACGCGTGTGAATGGCAAAAAGGTGGATGACACTAAGAGCGTAAAATCTGCAATACTTGAAGGAATAAACAACAACAACCTAACCATCAGAATAGCGCGCCCGATTCCAAAGGTCAGCTCTGATAGTCTTCCAGCCGATGTGACAAAGATCATCCAGAAAAACATGAATTTCCACCGACACAGCCATAAATATTCGGCAATCATCACATCAACTGAACGGGATGCTCCAACATCATTTATTGGTCGCATAACAGGACGTGGTGGATCATCTCAAAGATCTTCTCGTCGTTCAAGTCCAGAAGGTCAGTTTATTCAGGCTAATTAAATAAATAATGTCGAAATCCTTTTTTTTCCAGTTAGCAGTGCCAGAGTCACAATTCAACGCCCATCAAAAGAAGACGTTAAGAACATACCAACTGATACAACAAATGATTTGAAGAAAACTCCACCAAGAAGGGGGTCACAACCAGATGATTCTTGAACAAAAAGTTTGGAGAATGATGTGATTTTCGATGAATAAAGGGAAAGTTATAAATAATGTTGTTATTTGTGTTTGTATACTTGGATTTTTCTAAATGTATATTGTCATAAATTTCTGTATATAAAATTGTTTTTTTGTTCATATTTATTGTAGGTATATTTGAATAAGTATCTAAAAATAATTTTTGTACTGCTAATTTTTTTTCCAAACCTAAAAACTCGTAGTTTCCCGTTTTCTTAATTAACAATAAAACTGTTACCGTTTTTTCTTCCCACACTCAACTGTCGGCGTTCAAAAGGATGTTCGAAAAAAAATAATTTTTGCAAAAATTTCCTTAAATTTTTTTTAAATTTTAGTGATTTAATTGCCTTAAAATTCAGTTTTTTCATTAATTTAATTATGAAGTCTTCACATTCAAATTCCCCATTGGTTACCGGAATTTCTCCACATCAAGGTGTTTTTAATCGATTTTCACTCCCTTGACAAATATTTTTTTCAAGGTTCACCTGGAACACAAATTACAATTCGTGGTCAAAATCTTGGCGAAGATCCAAATGATATTGTAAGTGACTGAAAAAAATTTTTTAAAAATTAAAAAAAAATTTTTTTTCAAAAGGTAGCCCTTATTATTTGTGGCACAGATTGTTTAGCAACTGCTAAGTGGAAATCTTCCTCAAAAATAGTTGCTAGATTGGGTGGACAAGCAAAGCGGGGTGTTGGTGATATTTTAATAGTTACTAGATCTGGTGGGAGAGGACATTCAGAAGTTCAGGTTTGTTTTTGAGAAAAATTTTTTTTTGATAATTGTTAGTGTTTTTGCGGATATTTCGAATTTTGTAATGTTTTTTGGGTTAATTTTTTAGTGCGAATTTTTTGTAAAATGTTCTGTCATAACATTGTTAAAAAAATTTTTTTGTTAATTTTTATCATTTTATTAAGAATTTTGAGTTTGCTGCATTAGTCCGCAAAATTTGTCCGCAAAACTTGTCCGCAAAACCTGTCCGCATAAATTTAAAAAAATAACTCCCTTTTATTTTTCTTTTAAAGTTTCGTGTATTTATCGAGCAAATTGGCCCTCTACAGGAATCTATAGTTTGGGTAGATGAATCTAAAACCGTTCCTGGACGAAATTTGCTTCGAAATGTTGGGGAAACAAATGATAATGAGGATGCTTTAGAATTGGGTGTTGACCCGTTAGTTTTTTTTCTAAAAATTTTTTTACTTTAAATTTTTAGACAGAAGAAATTGGATCATTCGACACTTTTAAAATATTTTCCCGATTCTTCTGGAAGTAGAAAAATGGACAATTTTAACCCTCGTTGGTATTTGCTGGAGAACTACAAAAATGCAAGGTAAATTTATTTTTTGGGGAATTTTGGGACTTTAGGCCATATCTTGGCCAGGTCAAAAAACGGGCAAAAACGGCTCAAAATCCTTGCTAGGACATTCTCTATCGAATGAGCCTTGTCTCGACTGTTTTTAGGTCGGGGTTTTAGGTCAACCTTTCCTTGTTAATAGAGGAGGGGGATGATCTTCCCACTCCAGACTGGCTACGGGCTTGTTTGCAGTTATCCTTTTCATTATCTCATTTTATATTTTTTTCTCTATTTTTAAATTTAAGCCTATCTGACTTAAAACGCGGACTTAAAAACTTGGAAGAACGTATTCAACGTGAAGACCAATCTTCAAAACAACTACATAAAGCTAGTCTTTTCCCATTAGTTAGCTGTGTCGATGCTTTAGCCAAACTTCAATCAAAAATTCAACAACAAAAACGAGCACAAAAAGAAGCTGGAGGCCAATGGCCAACAACAATAAAATTATCTGAAAAATTAGATTTGGCAAGAGAAACAGCAGATCAATTATTTAAAGATGTTTTGGCGAGGAAAGATGCTGCGGATTCAACGAGGAATGCTCTGTCTGTGCTAACACGTTTTCGATTTATTTTTTTCTTGGCTGAGCAGATTGAGGACAATTTGGCAAAGGTTTTATTGTTTTAATATTTTCTGTTTATTTGAGTTAATGACTCTTGTCAATGTCAGATAAAAATTGACACATATCTATTTTTATCTTCATTTTTAGTCCTCCATATTTGGGCATATATTTATAAGAAAGTTATTTTGAAAATTTGAACATTTTTTGGGAATTTTGGAAACACCAATTAAATTCTTAATTTTAGGGTGAATACGCTACCATTTTAAATGATTACGCTCGAGCAAAAGCACTTTTTAAGGACACTGAAGTTAGCTTGTTTAAAGAAGGTTTTCTTTATAAAATTTTTTTAAAAAAATTTGTAGTTTACTTTTAGTAATGGCTGTGCTTGACGAAAAGATTGACAGACTTCGAGGAATTATCAGAAAACTTTTGGTTGATATAACAACTCCCTTTGAGGAACAAAGCCGCTTGATAAAATATCTCAAAATTCTAGATCCCGAATCTGATCCAGCTTGGGATTGTATGATGGCATATCACGGTTGGTTGGAAAGTATGTTGTGGGAACTTCAAAGGCAATTTCATGCACAAGGTTTTTTCTCCCAAATTTTATTTTTCCTATTTAATAATTTAGAAGAACAATCACTCCTTCGAGAAGATATAAATGCTACCTCTTCAATTTCTTATGATCTAGATACTCCCAGACCTCTTGGATATTTCCGTCAAGCATTTGTTACAGACTTGTTGAGTTTATTGACAGACAAATTACACACATTTTGGAAAATTTCTCAAAATTTTGCTGTGACTGGTTCTGGCACAACTATTGCATCGTTATTGCCTGCTTCGCTTGCTGAAGCTACAGAGATCCAGGAACGTCAAATGGATATTGATGTAATTAATAAAAATTTAAATACAATCTGATCTCACTATAAGCTCCAATTTTTGTAATGAAGTATAAGATTCTCGGAACCAGTGGCCAACTAAATTTTAATTTGAGGGTTACCTGGGTAATTTTGGGCCCTGAAAATTTGTTCAACTCTATATTTATGATAATCCTAACAAATTATTTTTTTAAAGCAAATGCTTGCTAATACAATAAACGTCGCTTCTTGGCTTTTACTAAATGCTCTAGTGCCTGGATCCTTACCAGAATCAGTAACAAAGCAACATACTGATGATCAATTTGTTCAATGGCCACCAATAAATTCAGCTGCTCAATGGAATGTTATGTTTTCTTCAATTAAATTACTTAGGTTTTTTAGAAAAAATTCTTTAAAAAATTTTTCGAATTTTTAGAAATTCAATAAAAGCTTTAATTGATTGTCAATTAGCTAGGCATCATTTACAACCACTTTTTGAGCTTTGTACAACCGTTCGTTTAAAATGTTTGGGAATGCTGGTTGAAAGAGGGAAAGAAGGTTTGCCTTTCTTTAAATATTTTTTGTTAAATTTTAATTTTTTTTAGCAATTATTGCACTTGGAACTCACGAAAATTGGCGAGTTGATTTAATTGCTGATGTGCCTAGAACTGCTTTACCTGACCGTTTCGAGGCTGAATTAAATGAATTATTGCCTGATATGAAATGTATTCTTTCTTATGGGAATTTTCCTGGTGAAACTGATCTTTTTGTTAGAGAGAAGTGGAGACATATGGTAGGGAAATGGTTTTTTTAATTAAAATTTTTTTCGATTTAATTAATCAAGGCCCTTCTTATTGTTAACAAAAATTTTCAATTTTAAGATTACTGATTTATTTACCGTTCTCTTACTTGGATTCCGTGATTGTTGTGATCATTTACTTAAATTAAAAACCCAAAAAAGTCGCCAAAATCAACAGAAAAAAATTTCAACGCAATCAACATCCTCAACAATAAAATCAATTCAAAGACCCACAACTCTTTCAGCAGATACTTCTTTAATTTCAAATGGATCTATTGAATTAGAAGAAAATAATGAAATGAAAAATATACAAAAACAGGCAATTTCTCAGGTTTTTATTTAAATTTTGAATTTATTTTTAATATCTATTTAGGAACAATTAAGTAGGCGATTTTTAACAGTTATTGCCAATATTGAATTTTTACTTAACCATTCTTTGTCGTCAATATGTCGTCGTTTGGGAGATAATGGACTTAAATTTTCCGAGCAAGTATTTAAACATACAAAGGTTTTTTTAATTTTTAATTAAATTAAAAATATTTTTTTTGAATTGAAAAATTGTGGGTTTGTGAGAAATTGTGGGAATTACAAATTTTTATTTATTTGTCTAACCTTTTACCGAAAAGGTTGGGCAATAATTAGGTGCCCACCAGATCTGCGTCGAAACTTAAAAATATCGAAAATATTTTAAATTATCGAAATCGAAATTTTATGAAAAAATTCGAAAATCGAAAGAAAAATACGCCGAAAATCGAAATTATTCTGATGCCCACTTATTTGAAATTTTTCTAAAGCTTAAAGAAATCTAACGAGAAATGTAGGAAATAGGAGAGGATGATTGGTAGAAAAAT